GCTGGTCAGTGTTTTAAAGTCATCTTTTAAAAGCTACAGCTGACCTGGAAGCCAATAACATTTTTTTCTTTTCTTTCTTTTTTTTTTTTTTTTTTGAGATGGAGTCTCATTCTGTCTCCCAGGCTGGGGTGCAGTGATGCAATCTCAGCTCACTGCAACCTCTGCCTCCTGGGTTCAAGCAATCATCCAGCCTCAGCCTCCCAAGTAGCTGGGACTGCAGGCATGTGCCACCACGCCTGGCTAATTTTTTGTATTTTTAGTAGAGACAGGGTTCTGCCATGTTGGCCAGGCTGGTCTCGAACTCCTGACCTCAAGTGATCCACCCGCCTCGGCCTCCCAAAGAGCTGGGATTATAGGTGTGAGCCACCGCGCTTGGCCCAAAAACATTTTAAAAACGTGCTATTTTTGTTGAACGCCTGTCGACCCTAAATTATCTCTCAGGAGTTCCTTTCTGATCTTCAAAATGTAATTTGGAAATCACTAATGCACTTTAATGATCTCCTTGTACAGATGGGAAACCAAGCTGGTCAAGAAGCAGAGTTGAGGTCAGGGCATGTGTCTCCTGCCTTCCAATCAGCGGCACATCAGAATCTTACTCTTGATTTTGCCATTTTAGCTCCTCCATCAAAGAGTAAGCAGAAAAACATTCAAACCCCATTCCCTTTCCTACTTGGTCAGCAGCAGCAGCTCAATTCAAAAGGTTTGATAGAAAGACATAGGAATTTTTTTTGTTTTTTTGTTTTTGTTTTTGTTTTGAGACAGAGTCTTGCTGTGTCGCCCAGGCTGGAGTGCAGTGGCACGATCTCAGCTCACTGCAACCTCCACCTCCCGCATTCAACTGATTCTGCTGCCTCAGCCTCCTGAGTAGCTGGGATTACAGGCACCCGTCACCAAGACTGGCTAACTTTTTGTATTTTTAGTAGATACGGGGTTTCTCCATGTTGCCCAGGCTGGTTTGGACCTTCTGAGCTCAGGCAATCTGCCTGCCTCTGCCTCCAAAATTGCTATGATTACAGGCGTGAGCCACTGCGCCCAGCAGGAATTCTCTTTTTTTTTTTTTTTGAGACAGGATCTATCTCTGTAACCTAGGCTGGAGTGCAGTTGTGCAATCTCAGCTTGCTGCAGCCTCCGCCTCCTGGATTCAAGTGATCCTGTCACCTCAGCCTTCAGAGAAGTTGGGATTACAGGCATGAGCCATCATGCCCAGCTGATTTTTGTATTTTTAGTAGAGATGAGGTTTCACCATGTTGGCCAGACTGGTTTGATGCAGGAATTCTTTACTCAAACGGTTTTGGATGGTCATGGATATTTGTTCTTCCTCTTAAGCATGGTTGAAGGCAATCTCTAGGTACCAGTTCAGCTCTTCCCAGCCGTACTCCCTCTTTCAAATGAGTTATCATATATACTTGCTTTAAATAGGCCAAGACATGAAGATCTGGAGTTATAAAACACAAATCAGTCTTTCTTTTTCTTTTTTTTTTTTTTTTTTTGAGACGGAGTCTCGCTGTGTCGCCCGGGCTGGAGTGCAGTGGCCGGATCTCAGCTCACTGCAAGCTCCGCCTCCGGGGTTTACGCCATTCTCCTGCCTCATCCTCCCGAGTAGCTGGGACTACAGGCGCCCGCCTTCTCGCCCGGCTAGTTTTTTGTATTTTTTAGTAAAGACGGGGTTTCACCGTGTTAGCCAGGATGGTCTCGATCTCCTGACCTCGTGATCCACCCGTCTCGGCCTCCCAAAGTGCTGGGATTACAGGCTTGAGCCACCGTGCCTGGCCACAAATCAGTCTTTCAATGGAGTGTTCCTGGGTCTAGCATAGCAAGAAAGCTTAAATCAATTGTGCTGTGTTTGGAAAAAGAATGTGCTAAAAGAAGATGGTCTATATGTCCTCTGTGATAGGAGACACCAGAGGAACCAAGTGATGCTTAACACAGGGCCCAGTTCTATTCTAGAGTAGAGACAGGCCAGGCATGGTGGCTCATGCCTGTAATTCCAACATTTGGGAGGCTGAGGTGGGAGGATAGTTTGGGCCAGATGTTTGACACCAGCTTGGGCAACATAGTGAGACACCATGTCTTAAAAAAATTACAGGCATGGTGGTGCATGCCTGTAGTCTCAGTTACTTGCGAGGCTGAGATGGAAGGATAACTTGAGCCAAGTCTAAGGCTGCAGTGAGCCTTGGTCATGCCACTGCTCTCCAGCCTGGGTGACAGAGCAAGACCCTGTCTCAAAAACAAAAAAAAAAAAGAGTAGGGACAGATATATCCCCTGTGAGTGTAACAGCACTAGCCACTCAGACAGTTCTATTATTTTCCCTTGCTTAGAGTTCATGAGCAGAGGTTAAATTTCTGACTGTAATCTGGCTTTCCAAATGTGTAGATCATTTCAATTCTTCTTCTTCTTTCTTTTTTTTTTTTTTGAGATGGAGTCTTGCTCTGTCACCTATGCTGGAAGACTGGAGTGCAGGATCTTGGCTCAACCTCTGCCTCCCAGGTTCAAGCGCTTCTCCTGCCTCAGCCTCCCGAGTAGCTGGGACTACAGGTGCATGGCACCACGCTCAGCTAATTTTTGTATTCTTAGTAGAGACAAGGTTTCACCATGTTGGCCAGGATGGTCTCAATCTCTTGAGTTTGTGATCCACCCACCTCAGCCTCCCAAAATGCTGGATTACAGATGTGAGTCACCACACCCAGCCTGTTTTCATTTTTGTTTGTTATTATTTATTCTCCATCCCCTATTTTTTTTTTTTTTTGACGCGGAGTCTTGCTCTGTGCCCCAGGCTGGAGTGCAGTGGCGCGATCTCGGCTCACTGCAAGCTCCGCTCCCCCGGGTTCACGCCATTCTCCTGCCTCAGCCTCCCGAGTAGCTGGGACTACAGGCGCCCGCCACCTCGCCCGGCTAATTTTCTTGTATTTTTAGTAGAGACGGGGTTTCACCGTGTTAGCCAGGATGGTCTCGATCTCCTGACCTCATGATCCGCCCGTCTCGGCCTCCCAAAGTGCTGGGATTACAGGCTTGAGCCACCGCGCCCGGCCTCTCTATCCCCTATTTTAAAGAAACTAAGTGGGCAATGTGTTCATGCCTGTGGAGAGCAACGTAGGACAGAAAAGAAAAGTGGGGATAAGATCTCAGATCATGTAAGTAGTTTCCTTTTCTTGAGATGGAGTTTCGCTCTTGTTGCCCAGGCTGGAGTGCAATGATGCTACTTTGGTTCACCGCAACCTCCTCCTCCCAGGTTCAAGTGATTCTCCTGCTTCAGCCTCCTGAGTAGTTGGAATTACAGGCATTCCCCACCACGCCCGGCTAATTTTTGTATTTTTTTGTTTGTTTGCTTGTTTTGTTTTTTGAGACGGAGTCTCGCTCTGCCACCCAGGCTGGAGTGCAGTGGCCGGATCTCAGCTCACTGCAAGCTCCACCTCCTGGGTTCATGCCATTCTCCTGCCTCAGCCTCCCAAGTAGCTGGGACTACAGGCGCCTGCCAGCATGCCTGGCTAATTTTTTGTATTTTTTAGTGGAGACGGGGTTTCACCGTGTTAGCCAGGATGGTCTCGATCTCCTGACCTCGTGATCTGCCCACCCTGGCCTCCCAAAGTGCTGGGATTACAGGTGTGAGCCACCGTGCTTGGCCCAAAAACATTTTTAAAACATGCTATAATTTTTTAGTAGAGACAGGGTTTCTTCATGTTGGTCAGGGTGGTCTCAAACTCCTGACCTCAGGTGATCCGCCTGCCTCAGCCTCCCGAAGTGCTGGGATTACAGGCATGAGCCACCGCGCCCGGACCTTTTTTTTTTTTTGAAATGGAGTTTCGCTTTTGTTGCCCAGGCTGAAGCGCAATGGCGCGATCTTAGCTCACCGCAACCTCTGCCTACCAGGTTCGAGTGATTCTCCTGCCTCAGCCTCCGAGTAGCTGGGATTACAGGCATGCACAACCACGCCTGGCTAATTTTTGTATTTTTAGTAGAGATGGGGTTTACCCATGTTGGTCAGGCTGGTCTTGAACTCCCGACCTCAGGTGATCTGCCCGCCTTGGCCTCCCAAACTATTGGGATTATAGGCATGAGCCACTGCACCCGGCCATAAGTCTTTTTCAACCAGGGCTAGCTCCTCCTTCAGAAGCAGACTATTAGAATAGCCAGGAGAGTTTGGGATGTTCTTCAATGTGTGTGACACTTTTCCTAAAGGAATTTGGGGAGTGGACAAGGTTCTTTCTTCCCTACGATGTGTATTTTGTGTGTGTGTGTGTGTGTGTGTGTGTGTGTGTGTGTGTGTTTGGAGATGGTGTCTTGCTATGTTGCCCAGGCTGGACTTGAACTCCTGGGCTCAAGCGATCTTCCCGCCTCAGCCCCTTCACCTCCCCAGTATGTGGGACAACAGGTGTGCACCACTGTGCCTGGCTCCACCCTGTGATATTTTAAAAGAGGGTTGGGGAACTTCGTTGTGCACCTGGATGAGAGCTGCAGGAAGGAGTTGACTCAGATATGAAAGCTCAGAATGTAAATGACCTGCCAGGAAGCTGTTTTGACCTGAAACTGGGCTTAATATGAGTCTCTAGCAAGACTGAATTAATGGAAGACATTTTTTAAACTATAGGGAAGGGAGGGGGAGGGTGGAAAACCCGAGGGAAAGGCAGCTAATATAAGGGAAACTACTTCTCCTAAAAGACATTTCATATAAAACAAATCAAAAACAAAACCAAAAAAAAAAAAAAAAAAAAGGACAGAAAAAAAGCAAGGACTGCCAAGACTGCCTCTTATTCTTCCAAAAGCTCCAGCTCCTGAATTGTGGATTCTAACCAAGGTGGGTGGAGCAAAGCTTGTACTACAAGGGAATGAAGCCAATGCAAGGGCCCAGAGGTAAGGGAAGCGTTGTCAGAGTCTGGTGGTAAGCTGAATTCTGTGCCTGTTTAAATGGGGTTGTCCTTGTGGTTGTGGCATTTCCCTTCTCAACTTCAACAGACAATCAGCAGCATTACTCAAAAGTGGAGATGCATGGAGGACAGCACAGTTACAAGTGGGCATGAGTTTTTATTCTCAGTGCACAGCAGTATTGGTTTCTGTTCATCAGCAAAAAGCTTTATTGGTTCCAAAAAATTATCCCTTTTAAAACTCCCCTTCTTCTTCTGGTCTCAGTGGAACAACACATTTGAATTTTAGATTTGACAGTTTATAGCATTTTTTTTTTCCTAAGAACCATATAAATACATGCAAAACTTTGTACATAGAGCTTAAATCATATCAAAATGCAAATATAGATTGGGTGCGCTGTTAAGCTGAATTGCAAATTATGGCAACACACACTGGGGTATACATTGCTTTGATATCACCATTTGTTTGTTTATGTCATGCAGACCACAATAGTCAATCTTGTTTTGTTTTTCTTTTTTGTACAAAAATACCAGTGCTTGTTATACTAGTTACTAAAAGAAGAAGAAACTCAAAATTCCTATCTGCGTGCTAATTTGAAAAGAACAACATAGATAGATTTGTTGGCACATATATATGGCATATTCACATATGGCATATATACATATGGGGAGAAAACATGAACCAAAGGCCAATTCAGTAATGGGAGCTCATCTCCTTCCATCTCTCCTAATCAAGAGCAAAGGGAACAGCAGGCCTAACAGCAGGGTTGGGAAGGCAAAAGGACTGGCACTGAACTAAGTGAAAGGGCATCTGGTCTATTCAGAGGAAGAGGTTGGAATGGCTTAACAATAGCAGGCATTTATAAGTGCCCACCCTCACCAATGCAGTGGGGGTGGTCCCTAGATAAGAAAGGTGAGGAAGTCTCTGCATATTGTGATGGTACCACAGGCTGCTTCAATTGTAAGGCAATGAAGCAGGAAAGAAAGGAAGGGATGCATTTAGAGGCTTTTCCGCACAAGCGAGTGTGCCATGTCCCTCTGGGTTTTCAGCAGTGAGGTAACCGTTCAGATTTAACCGTGCCAATTCTCCTCTCTGAAGCTCAAGGGGAAGAAGAAACTCAAACCCTGAAGAACCCACAAGTGTCCAGTGGGATTTCTAGGTGATCTCTCTCTTAACCCCTTTAGGGATAGGAGAGTCATTCCAGAGGACAGATGATACTATGGGAGGGACCTAGCTTTAAGACTGTCACTCAGAGCTAGAACCAGCCATTGTTTTATCATTTAGAATTCTGTCCCCATTTAATATATTGCACAAAATCTTTCTAGGGGAGAAAAGCCATCATAAATAAGATCCTTGCACAAAAACTCACTAATGGAAAACCCCAGGGGGAACCGGAAATGAAAACTATGAAAAATGCAAACCCCAAATCAGAGTATCCTTACAGACCAGGAGAGATTCGTGTCTTTGGTACCACTCTGCCAGCTATTCTTCAAGAAACACAAATCCAACGGAGGCCCCTAATCCTCATGACAAGTCAGGAAAGAGTCTGTCTATCCGTCTGCGTGGGGAGGGGGGCGCGGTGGGGAGGATTCCTTTCCTAACAGCTGTGTCCCTTGCTGGGTGTTTTCCTGACTATCCACGGTTTACTACCCGTTTTTCTAGGTTTATTAAGAGAGGAAGCTAGGATGATACGTTCTCCTTCTCCCCATCAGACCCTTTTCAAATCCGAAGCACCATTTTGGGGAAAAGGGTTATTAACTTATGCCGTATTTACCCACTGCAAGTTGGATCAGTGAAACTGAATAGAAAAAACTTATATAAAAAACATATGCACATAGACACTTAAACTTACTTAATTCCATTATCAACAAAATTTATATTAAAAAAGTCTAGAACCCAACAATTTTTTTCCCTAAGTATAAAGATGGCTGTTTGCAGAAAGAAAGTATGGTGTATTGGTTTTAAAACCAATTACAAATATACTAAGTCACCTGTCATGCCAAACAGCTGGTTATGTGCTCCCTTCCACAGAGCTACATGACGGCACTTTATTTTAAATCCTTTAAACAAAATACATATGGCTGACTCAAAAATATCAGTTTCTGATCTAAAGAAAACTATATATTTTTGCATATATTTCTATATTTTCTCTCCTATTATGGAAACTAGAACACAAGAAAAAAACCATTGACTTTTAAAAAGTAGACACAAGCTCTCAAGAGTAACCTGTCAGGTACCATGAGAGTCTTTTGCAAACAGGAATGGTAAAATAGCCTTCAAACCTTGTTATTGGCTTGCTATTTAAAATGATCTGAGGTAATACAAGACTTGATAGAATTAAATCTTCTAAAGTAGTTGATGAATATATATGTGAACACCTAACACCTTGGGTGAGCTGTTTTTTTCCCTATGAGTATTTAAGACACAAAGAAGAATTATTGAAGCATGTACATTTTACAAAACCAGAATCAAATTTGCTTTCCTATTTCCTACGATGATGGATTATGTAGTCATGGGGATATGCAGGGGGTATTGTTTCTCTATGTTTCCTACTGTGGACAGCTCAGGTGAAAGGGGTGAGGGAGGACAGATCCGGAAGAAAAGGCTAGGTGGATCAGGTCATCTTCCTCTCGCATGGGAATTTGGCTGTTCATATGTCCCCTCTTCTTGACTCTCATCACTCTAGAAAGAGGCGGGTGGGCTTAACTGGCCCCTGCACAGAAGTCAACACCAGCAGGGATACAAATGGAGCTCCTGTAAATGTGGCTCCACCTTGTCCCAGTAAGGAACACTTAAAAAATCTCCTAGCAAAGTCCCCAACTCCTGAGAGGCAGAGGGGAAGGGGATGCTTTGGGCAATATTCAGGGAAAAAAAGGCACAGGGCTTTACTGGGCAGCAGCTGCAGCATGTGGCTGAAGAGGGGCTGGAGGAAGGGGGAGTGTGCTGGGGGGGGGTCTTTTGCTCCTTTAAGTCGGCAAAATGTCACAGGGGCCTCCCACTTTGGATATATATTTTCAAAATCAGAATATTTGAGAAAAGCTGGGACCTTCTCAGATACTGGGAAAGTTGTGACACGTGCAAAAACTAGAATTAGAAACTGGAGAGAATGTCGAAGCTGGTCCCCAGGCACCACAGCTCAAGGTTTCCGGCCCCTGCAGGAAGGTTTTCTCAGATCATACTAGAATGGCTCTTTGGCCTCTCCCAAGGCTTCTGAACACTCGTTCCCCACCTGTCAGGTCCTGCCCTGGAGAGCCTTGGCAGATGGCTTTGAAAGCAGTGGTCACCCCAAAGAGGAGCCCACAAAAGTCTGCTTTGATGGTCTGTCTTGTCCTCGATTTGGCAGTGGCTGGCCCTCAATATTCAAGCCCAGTAAGGAGGCGGGGTTGAATATATACCACACATATGCAACCTCCATGGGCAAGGCTGATCTCCCTGGCACTTAAGAACCACATATACCTGACAAGATGGCAGTTTAAAAGCACAAGGTAACCTGGCAACAACTGAGAAATATTCTTACCAGCACTTAATTGCTTCAAAGGGACCCTTTTAACAAAGAAACTGGTTGGATTCTAGAACTAAATCAAGGGTTCTTTTGGGCCAAAAGGGAGAAGGATCAAAGTTTATGCAATTCACCCATATCCTTTCCATTTTCTTAATCATCATTAAAAAAAAAAAAAAAAAAAGGAAAGGAAGGGAAGACAAAGACAAAAAAGAACCTTGGAGAGGTTTGACTGGAAGGGCAGAAAGAGTTAGAGGCCTATAGGCCTTTAGGTGTAAGTTTTCAAAGTGGGAGAATTGAAAAACAATCATACTACTGGCGGATTTTAGACATTCCATCTCTACCTCAACATATTTCACTTGGGGATATTTGTCTCCCTCTGAACCCTCAACTTAGCTTATAAATGGCACAGACTTTTAGGACAAAATCCAGAATTCAGGAGATGAACATCAGGGGAGAATGTGGGGTGGGGTGATGCCAAGAGGATTGTCATCATTTCTTTAAAAATGACAAGTGACTATCAAGGAGTAAATTCTACCATGACCTGCCTGGGGTTTGACTGGGCCCCGCTGCAAACCCCAAGTCGAAGTTAAGTTGAAATCCTTGTAAGTCTGTGCTCTTGCCTCTTCGTGGTCAGGTGGGGGTTCACACACACTGCTGTTTACACAGCAGTTGACATGACGATGAAAAGTCCCATCATCACCTCATAGATGCGACAGGCGAAAATGGAAATAGGGAAAATAGGGATGAGAGTCAGAGAAAGAAAATTCAAACCGATGTCTCTAGGCTCTGTAGAGAGCTGTCCGACTGTGGGAGCTGCGCTTGGTTGCAGTCCACTGCATTGTTGTTTGTATTGGCGTATGGAGTGACCTCACCATCCAACAGGAGCACCCCAGTCCCAAACTTAGAAGCCTTGTCAGGATTTTCCTCCTCTTCCTTATCCAGGAGTGGTGTTCGCGGCAACTCCTCATCTATGGCGAATTCAGGGTGGGTCATGAAGTTGTGGATGGAGTTTTGGTTGTAGGGTTTCTGAATGGTTTCGTGGAGGGAACTATGGAACGCTTTGACCACTTTGATCTATACCAGGGGAAGGAAAAGGAGGATGAGAAAATAGGGAGGTGAGAATTGGCTGGCAGAACAAGGAGATGGTGGTTTTAGGAGAGAAACAAAACCCAAACTATAGAACATGACTGCTCAGCAACCAAAACCAAACACACATCAGAGGAGATCATGGGGCACTAGAAACATCACACGGCTCAACTTTCAAGCAGTGGGGTGGGCTGGGGTGAGTGATGGCAAACAACTAGGACATTTTGAAAGCTGCATTTAAAGAAGTAGAAAACCCAAAGCAACGTTAGCATTCCCAAACAATCTACTTTTAAAATGAAACAGAAAACAAGAAGTTTCATTAGTTCTTTTAGATGGAGGGCAAGGGCATGGGAACTAGATGCAAATTGATAGCCAAACTTAAAAAGATGATTCAGACATGTGGATTTCTGTGCTGAGGCCAAACATTTTGTGAATGGGGAATGAAAAAATTATGCATTGAGGTTTAGTTATCTGTTTAAGGACCTCAAAGAGCCAGCATACACCAATCTGCACATAATACACGTTGGGTGACGAGTGACCACGAATACTGTGCAGCCAGGCAGACAAACCAGTCTTCATTTGTGTCAGCAGCATGCAGGAACTTAAAACTCTCCAGTAATAATTTGCCCTTTCAGCCAGGAAACATGCATATTTTTACATCCCACGACCACCACTGTGTCCCCTCCCAGCAAATAACAGAACTTCACTCCTTCAGCCCCTTCCCTAGAAGAAGTGGATAAAATACAGGTGTCAAAAGATGCTTTCCTCCTGCCTATTGAGAAAAGACCTGGCTCTCATGATTCAAATGCACGTTCATGTCTCTGATACACAGCAATGGTGCCCAATCATGCTGCTTTCTCCAGCTGTTTCCAAATTGTGAAGAGGAGCGTAGTCTTATGTGGAGAAGGGAATGAAAGGGACCAGTGAGAGAAACCTAACTCAGGAGGCAGTGCTACAAACAAGTGGCCTTTCTGATGGGGTGGGTGAAGAGGATGATGGAAAGGAAACCATGTGCAGTTTGTGCGGTTTTACTGGGCAAAAGGAGATGCATTGCCCAGTGTCATAGTCTCTGTCCTACTGTGCAAAAAGGAAGGGATTCGGTCAGTTCAGAGTCATGAAGAAAAAACTGACAATAATTGATTCCTGTGAACAGCTTTTGCTTGTCCACAGGCACCAGCAATTTTGGCAGCTCTGCTTTTCTGAACTGTAGGTCTCTCTGAGGCATGGCTTAGAATCATGGTTGGTAGAATTGGGGTAGAGGGAGAGGGTTGGAGCTCCAAGAAGTTAGAGAGAGGGGCCAGGGGAAAGGTAAATGGTTATAGGACAGTTTTAGTTGTTGGAAGGTGGCTGATCCTAGTCTTGTCCCAAAAATCTTCACTCAGAAAAGAAATGGGAGTAATGTGGGGGAAATTGTTGAGGTTGGGGGGGTAGGAGTGATGAAGGTGAGAGTAAGGTACCTCTTTCATTCCTCTGCTGTTTAAGCAAAAAGTATATCCCAGGAGAATAGGCAAGAATTTGGAGACAGCAGAGGATACAAAGAGTCAGCCAAATTAACTGTTTGGATTACCTGTTTCAGTGCTTCCTACCACCATACAGAACTTTCATAAATACCACTCAAAGGCGGCTCACTATCAATACTGCTGGTCTATTTTCTCTGGAGGAGAATGTGTCTCTGCTGGCTAAGGCTTTCTTTATCTTGCCCCACTCTACTACAGCCCACCCAGGACTGAGGGTGCTCAAAGCTCAGAAGGCAAAGGACTCCTTGCCACTCAATAGCATCAGCTCAGTACCTCAGCTAAGAGGAATCAGGGAGCATAGGCACACACTCACCATGCTGAACAGAAAGTGAGGACCACATTTTTATTATCTGATTCCTATTTGACCATCTGATGGGGGAATTTTACCTGTCATGTTGCCTTTGCTCCAGATCTAGGTGAGATCAGATGGAATGGGGGCTCCATCTGGTCTTCAGGAAGTCTCAAGTTTTCATTGATCTACATAAAATCTCAGAGCAAGGCAATTTGGATTAAGTGAGTCCAAACCCAATGCCTTCTCCTTTGGCCCTGGCACAGATACACTGGCCAAGAGATGGGTCCAAAGCCATCCCACCCCATCAAAGCCGTCACTGTCAGGAGTGATGACATAGCTCACATTTTCCATATGCTTTCAAGATCTCAAAATTTCTACCAGCTATCACAGGAGGGCAGGTGCCTTTATCCACCAGTACATTATCTTCAATATCAGTGAGTTTCAACTTCCTGCTTCCATTCAATTGAATACTTTATGAAAAAATTACATGTGAAGTCCACTATAGAAAATAAATTTGCAACAATTGGGGTTGGAGTGAGGGTCTGGAGCCCTGTTTGTTGGCTTTTCCTCTCACCTGTTGCGGTGACCAATAATACTGTTACAGGTAAACAATGAGGGAGATAAAAGTGAATTGGGGATGGGTAGATGGAAAAAATACGGGAAACATCTTTTGGGGAGCAAGAAACAGTCATCCAGCTAGACTGCAGGACTTCTGGAATCTAAAGGGAAACCAGCCACCTGTAAGGAAGCTCATGTGAAGAGGGGTCAGAGAGCTAGGGGTGACCAGCTGGCTTGCTGGGTGGAGAGAAGGGGGAGGGAGGAGAGGGCATGGGGGCTGTGCCAGGATGCCCCAACTCCAGCACTGGCCTCAGAGAACACATGCTGATGAACAACCACACACCATATCACCACCAATCCACCCAGGGCTGGCATCTCCCTTTCCTGGAGCATGATGCCTGGTGCATGAGCAGTGTATGGGGACAAGACAGGGCTAGTGAAGTAGGTGCACAGAAAGCTTTGAGCACTCTCCACACAGCCAGTCAACCCTTCCCTCCCTGGTCATTATTTCTCAAAACCTTGGGGAAATGTCTCTTCTAGGGCCCTGGCCTACAGGTGGAAGTGGCTGGTTGAAGGGCAACTCTTTTCATGACTCAGGAGACTGGGTATGAGTGCTGAGGGCTACTCTCTGCAGCTCAACGAGTGGGCGGGTGAAGACTCCATTTCCTCAGCCAGAATATTGCGTAGTTTTCTGCTCCTGTTTTTTTTGAGATGGAGTTTTGCTCTTGTTGCCCAAGCCGGAGTGCAATGGCGTGATCTCAGCTCACTGCAACCTCTGCCTCCCGAGTTCAAGCGATTCTCCTGCCTCAGCCTCCAGAGTAGCTGGGATTACAGGCGCCTGCCACCATGCCCAGCTATATTTTTTGTATTTTTAGTAGAAACGGGGTTTCACCATGTCATGTTGGCCAGGCTGGTCTCGAACTCGTGACCTCAAGTGATCCACCCGCCTCGGCCTCCCAAAGTGCTGGAATTACAGGCGTGAGCCACCACACCGGGCAGTTTTCTGCTCTTATCAGAAACCAGGAGAAAAGGATTAGGGCCTCCTTATGCAGGGAAATCTTAGAGATCTATCTAAAGAAGGTTGGACAAACAGTTGGTTTCATTTGGAGATCTGGAATGGGAAAGAGGGTTTTAAAATGTATGGCTATAACTTTTAGGAGCTCCAACTAAAAAAGGACAGCTGGAGAAAGAGCAGGTGTGGCCCGTCTCTCCTCTGATCTTCTGGTGTTTGAGGGTTTGGAGCACACCCTCTACCAGCTCCTCTACAAGATCCCAGTAGGCTCAGTCTTCTGCTTAGTCTCCTTCCACCATCAAACCATCAGGATATCTGACACTAACTCTTCCTACCAGAAAGGGATGATTAAAACAGAACAGAAGCTAGTTAGAAGGGGATGGCAGAACTAGAAGGAAAAAAGGAATTAAGAGAGGAATATGAAAGAACGGGTGCGAGAGGTTCCTGGATATTTGCAGGGCAAGACTTTGTTAGTTCTTTCTTGCCTGTTTTTTTGACCTAAAGAAATTGTATGTATCTCTATCAAGTCCCACCCCCATCAGAACACTTTGGCTAAAGAGACAAAACAAATCTAAGTCTGGTCAACCCGCACAGTCCGTGATCATGTGAACCACAGACAAGGCGACTGTTCTTTCTTCAGCCCCTTCCCAGAGGTGGGAGTGGGTGAGGTTGGGAATGGGGGAGGAAGGAACAGACTGACCACTCAGATATTTGAAACCCACATTATATTTAATACAGATAAACTCCTTCCCACATTATCAGCAAAGAGCTGGCTACCTTCTCTCTCCTCTCTGAGTCCCATTTGGGGAAGGGAAAATGACCAAGAATAAGAGGGCATAAGCATTAGCAAGAATCCAAGAATCTACCAATAGGAACACCAGCTCTTAGGTTGTGAGTTGATAACATTCCAATGGAAAGTCGGGCTGAGAAAGGGGTTCCTGAAACTTTATTCGCAAAAAAAGTGCCGGCTATTGGAGAAACAATCAAACTAGAGAAAAGGAGAAGCAAAATAAAAGGGACTCCTCTTCAGAAACTCCTAAAAGTTTAGTAAATGAAGAAAAAACGTTATTTTGACTCTTTTATATATTTCTCCCACCTTGATGTGAAATAATTGATTTTTTTTTTCTTGAGACAGAGTCTTGCTCTGTCACCCAGGCTGGAGTGATCAATGGTATGATCTCAGCTCACTGCAACCTCCGCCTCCCGGGTTCAAGTGATTCTCCCGCCTCAGCCTCCCAAGTAGCTGGGATTACAGGCACACACCACATTGCCCGGCTAATTTTTGCATTTTTGTAGAGACAGGGTTTCCCCATGTTGGCCAGGTTGGTCTGGAACTCCTGACCTCAGGTGATCTGCCCACCTTGGCCTCCCAAAGTGCTGGGATTACAGGCAGGAGCCACCGCACCCAGCCAAGATTAACTGATTTTTAAACCGGAGTCCCTGAAAAGTAAAAAAATGGGGATATTCAACCATATACATTTTGAACTGACCTACCTTCTTTTCTTCACCTATAGCTACAATTTTTTTTTTTTTTTTAGACAGAGTCTTGCTCTGTTGCCCAGGTTGGAGTGCAGTGGCACAATCTTGGCTCACTGCAACCTCTGCATCCTGAGTTCAAGTTGATTCTCCTGTCTCAGCCTCCTGAGTAGTTGGGACTACAGGCACCTGCCACCACGCCTGGCTAATTTTTTGTATTTGTAGTAGAGATGGGGTTTCACCGTGTTAACCAGGATGGTCTTGATTTCCTGACCTCATGATCCGCTTTGGCCTCCCAAAGTGCTGGGATTACAGGCGTGAGCTACCGTGCCCGGCCAGCTACAACTTTTATGCTAAAATTGCCAGTTGGCAATACAGTGGTAGCCAAATGGACTATTATTATTGACCAAGTTTAATATTGGCTCAATTATGACAAGTCCACTAGTCAAAACACACCCACAGGCACATTAGCTCCCTTCCTTCCTTTCCTCAAAAGATCCCAAACCTTGACCCCATGTAAAGAAAGTTCCTGGGTTTTCATTTGGCCTAATCTCACATCTAAGCTTAGGAGGTAGAGTTCAGACTCAAAGGAGCAGGAGAAGAGGAGAGAAACAACAACATATCCCAGCAAAGCGACAAACAAACAGACAAACAAAAAAGGCAAAACAAAACAAAACTCAAGAAAAGGAAGAAACGAGCAATGCAGGGGAACAATCAGAAAACAGAATTATTGTCTTTAAAACAGTTAAGGTTTAATAGCTTTTCTACATTACAAAAATAAAATACAAGGGCACACAGGCTGGTTTTAGAGTGGGATTTTTGTCTTTTCTTCCCTTAAATCAAAATATCAAAGGGAAAAACCGAAAGAAAAGATAACCATGGTTGGTTAAAGTGGATGCCACGTGCTGTCTTGTGGTCATTTTAGCAAATCATGCATCATAATAGACTATCACTCACTGCCCATAGGAGGAGATGAAACAGCAGGAACAGAAGTGGTGGGGGAAGATTTGACTGGTGCAACTGCTACATAGGATGAACTAGGAACAAGTTTTACATCAAGGTGTTGACCCATGTTCTGTCGCCTTAGGACTCCCTTAAAAGAGGCTCCCGTCTGGAATGTGTTAATTACGTCGATCTGCAAAGAATCAGAGAGTGAGACAGCTTTGCTCCACAGTCGGAGAGGTGAAGAAATAGGAAGGGAGGGTCATGGAAGGTTTGGGAAGTGGGGATGGAAGTAGATGGGAAAAGGGGACAGGAGACAGCTAGAGAGAGCTTCCCTCCCACACAAAGCAATGGTGAGGAGAAGGGGAAAAACGTTAATTGCATATCATACTTCATTTAGGGAACAATTTGCCAGGGAGTCCCAAACGCCCAGCCAGAATCTAGTTTTCTCTTCCCTTTGAATCCATGGTGGGCATTTGAGGTGTAGAGGGGGCCAAGAGTATTTAAAATTTGAAGGGACTTTTCCCCACTCCATCACTCCTAACAGCTAGACAGATTGTTCATTGTTTTTACCTGTACTCTTTTTTTTTTTTTGAGATGGAGTCTCACTCTGTCGCCCAGGCTGGAGTGCAGTGGCGTGCTCTCAGCTCACTGCAACCTCCACCTACAGGCCCATTTTTACCTGTACTCTTAAAAATAAGGTAAACAATTTAAGATTCTGAAGGCAAATTATGTATTACTGAATTTCAAGGCTCAGGAACCTCTTAATCAATTCAATCGACTACCTATTTTTGCAGATTTTCCAGGAAAATAACTCATGTGTTTAAAGAAAAAACGGGGCCGTGTAGTAGCCAATATACAAGTGGCCATGATGGAAAGGCCCCTGGGCCATGAGTTGCTGGGGGCTCATCCTCCTCTGGGTATCTTGTCTGAGTTATCCCTTCCCTGTGCTGAAGTAGGCAGGGTGGAGCTCAAGAGCCCAGTGGCCAAGCCCACTAGAGAGAATGCTACTAAGTGCATTAATGCATTAGAGATTCTGAAATGTCTGGCAGAAATGCTGACAGTAACTTGGCAATTAGACTGAGGGAGGGGGAGGAATAGGTTTTGGTTAGCGGTTGTTGAAATAGCTACAGTTCGAGACTTACACAAGTAGTCTCTGGTTTTCAGTGCACTGTTCCTCAGAGATAGAGGCAATTATTTTCTTGCTTTCTTTTTTTTTTTCAGACAAAGTCTTGCTCTGTCACCCAGGCTGGAGTGCAATGGCACTATCTTGGCTCACTGCAACCTCTGCCTGCTGGGTTCAAGCCATTCTCCCGCCTCAGCCTCCCGAGTAGCTGGGACTACAGGTGCGCACCACCACGCCCAGCTAATTTTTTTATTTTTAGTAGAGATGGAGTTTCACCATGCCGGCCAGGCTGGTCTCGAACTCCTGACCTTGTGATCCACCCTCCTCGGCCTCCCAAAGTGCTGGAATTACAGGTGTGAGCCACCGCGCCCGGCCATGCCATTCATTTTCTGACAATGGTCCTGATCTAGGGCCTCAATCAACTCTACCATCCTTATCCCTGACCCCTAAGTAACAGGGATGAAATCAAAAGGAATTTCCTTTAGCCTTCATGAAACTGGTAGAATAATCTTAGAAATATCTATCTGCTTAATGCCAAGGGTTAATCTACCAGGAATGTAGGAAAGGTGCTGATTCCATTAACTGGACTTCATTTTCCCAGGAGGGAAGATGAGAAAGCAGGCAGAATATGAGTGAGATAGTTCTTTTATAAAGCTTCCTGAGAAGCCATGAGCTGTTTAGGGCTAGTTTCTGGATCCAGATTACAGTTTGAGCTGAAACACCACTGCTTCCTCACATTATTCAGTTTTAGTTCCCTGGGACTGAGGAGCTTGAACCTGCAGGAGGAGAGGGTTTACACTTGGGGTTGGGGGGTGGGTGGTGATTCCAGCTCCATAGAAGAAGGGACTGTAGAGATACCTTCTTCGGTGATTGTTGGAGTTACAAGGTCCCAACCCTCACAATTCTAGTCTCTAAGTTTCCTAACACCTCCCATACCAAAGCACTGTGATGAGAATGACAACAAAGATCAACGTGGAGATGACAGGGGGTTTTGTTAGAACCCAGCTGAGGTTGAAGGGTTGATGTTGGGAGCGGACCTCAGGGATCCAGGTACACGTTAGCATCATTAGCCTCATCAGCTTCCAGAGTCAGGTGCATCCTGGGATGGTGTGAATTTGGTCACGGTGGCATCTTGAACATGCCTCACTTTAGGCTTTAATGCTATTGTGGCCTAACTGCCTCACATTCCACCAATGGGGAAAGGTAGTATACCTAAAGCTATGTGGGCAGTGAAACCAAAAGACCTTATAGAGAGGTGCATAGTCAAGGAAATAGAAATTGGTAGTGGAGGGGAAGGAAGACCCATAAATCTCAGCCTCCCAGGACAGAAGACTGGAAAGGAGCAAGGAGGCACTGGACTGAGGGAATCGTGGCTAGGAGAAAAGAAATCATGTAGTAGAAGAAGTGCTTGATCCTGGAGAAAAGAAAAGCAAAGACAGGTTATTTCGGAAAGAGCAGACCCACAGGAAAGCACTGGGGGCTTTAGAGATGGGAGCCAAAGGCGCCAGGTTCTATGGGTACTTGGACTCAGCAGCCTGGACGGTGGGGTGGAGTAGGGAGTGGGCATGGGGACTCTGGATGCCACGAGGCACTTTGTGCAGGTCCCGCTGGAATTTTTCTTTCTGGAAGGAGGAACTCGAGAGAGGGAAAAGGAACCCTAGTGTTTCCCTACCTAGCCCTTTTCCACTTTTCTTTTTCTTTTCTTTTTTTAAAATTTAGCTCTTTATATAATGTCCCTTGTAAAAATGAAAGAATAAAAACAAACTAAAAAAGAGAGGCAGGGTAATTTTTTTTTTTAAAAAGAAAGGAAAGAGAGGAAAAGGAAATAAAATAAGACAATTTATTGCTTCTCCTCAGCATCCTCCTTGGTCTCCTCCTTCACTGAGAGAGCTTCTAGCTTTTCCGCCACTTTTCCGGCATGATTGTTTTTGCCTGATCCTGGCCAATTCGCCTCCTGGAGTCTGTCTTCTTGAAACTCAATGACCAAAGGAAGCCAAGTGGATGCATTCAAGCACCGCCTAGACCATGGTCAGGCTGCTCAGTGACACCTGGTCACTTGCCACCACAGCTGCAGTCCAGCCTCACGGCAGAGGTGACCAAGCCCTCTGAGAGACAAACTGAGGACCACTGTGTAAAGCACCTTCTGGTGAGCTCCAGGCAGTGCCCGGACTCCAATGCCTGCCCAGTTGGATGTGAGGCCAGCAACACGGAGAAGTGCTCAGGCCTCCCCAGGAAGCACCTGTGTCCCCAGGGAGCTGCATCGCCCTGGATAGGTGAGACAGCCACAGTACCCTGGAATGTTTATCTGGCAGACAGAAAAAGCACCCGCCTGGAAGTATAGTCAGGTGCAGAGTGAGTCTGCAATCCATTTTTCTTTTTCTTTTCTTTTCTTTTTTTTTTTTTTTTGAGACAGAGTCTTGCCTTGTTGCCCAGGCTGGTGTGTAATGGCACAATCTTGGCTCACCGCAACCTCAGCCTCCTGGGTTCAAGTGATTCTCCTGCCTCAGCCTCCCGAATAGCTGGGATTACAGGTGCCCACCACCACGCCCAGCTGATTTTTGTATTTTTAGTAGAGCCGAGGTTTCACTATGTTGGCCAGGCTGGTCTCGAACTCCTGACCTCATGATCTGCCTGCCTCGGCCTCCCAAAGTGCTGGGATTACAGGCGTGAGCCACCACACCCGGCCTCTTTTCCACTTTTCTATCTGTTGTCTTGCCTATATGAGATAAGTTCCTACTAGGTATGCAGTTTAGAATATTCACTTCATCTATCTCTCTTATATACTAAGGAGGTGGGGTTGACTGGGGAACTTTCTTTCTTTTTTTTTTTTTTGAGATGAGTCTCACTCTGACACCCAGGCTAGAGTGCAATGGCGTGGTCTTAGGTCACTACAACCTCTGCCTCCCGGGTTCAAGCGATTTTCCTGCCTCAGTCTCCCAAGTAGCTGGTACTACAGGCATGTGCCACCATGCCTGGCTTGTATTTTTAGTAGAGACAGGGTTTCACCATGTTGGCCAAACTGGTCTCGAACTCCCGACCTCAGGTGATCCACCTGCCTCGGCCTCCCAAAGTGCTGGATTGCAGGTATGAGCCACTGCCCCCGGCCTTTTGTTTTTTTGAGACAGAGTTTAGCTCTTGTTGGCCAGGCTGGAGTACAATGGCACGATCTTGGCTCACTACAACCTCTGCCTCCCGGGTTCAAGCAATTCTCTTGCCTCAGCCTCCTGAGTAGCTGGGATTACAGGTATGTGCCACTACGCCCAGCTAATTTTGTATTTTTAGTAGAAACGCGGTTTCTCCATGTTGGTCAGGCTGGTCTCGAACTCCTGACCTCAGGTGATCCACTCACCTCGGCCTCCGAAAGTGCTGGGATTATAGGCGTGAGCTACCATGCCTGGCTGACTGGGGAACTTTCTAAAACATTTGCAAGGCCAGTTTTAGACAGTGAAACTTAATAACTTATTTAGAAGATCTCCAGCCAATCAGCAGAGAGAAATACACCTGTTCTCTGGAGACCACCCTTGAGATCTTGGAATTTACAGTGTTTTTCAGATGGAAAATCTCAGGATTAAAACAATAAAGCTATGTGGGGTGAGAGCAGGGGAAGACAGAATTATCAATGCCTAGATCAGCCCATTCACCCAGGAGAAAGTAGTTACAATTGATGCATGGAAAGTGGGAAAAAAAAAAAAAAGTTATTGTGGGGCTATAGGCAGGGGATATAAGAGCAGCAGGGGTGGCTTCTATCCCATTTCAGAAATTGCAAGAAGGGAAGACGCTTGAAGAAATTATTGCTTCCTCCTTGTCAGGAAGCCAAGTTTGAATCCTGCAAAAGATGCTCAGACATCAACAGACTATTGTCATTTTTACACATGAAACCATCAGGTTCCCCACCATGGCCTTACACTTTGAACGGGAGAGATATAACAGGGTGAGTTTCTTTTACAAAGACCCTTCCAGATAGCATCTATTCCTATAATGGCAGTGTGTGGAAGCTAGATTAAGTGAATGCTGGGTATGTTGGCATATTGATATTGTCTAACTCCTTCCTTCTGAAGGGAGGGAAAAACGGAACATAAGAGACCTGAGACCTTCAGCATAAGAGACCTTATGCTGAAGCTTGCCCATTTGACAGAGGATAGAAGGGTGGGCTTTAGGGTCAACCCAGAGCTAAAGGACTATGCTAATGGCCTCCCATGGTCTAGGTCATTTGACTCCTCTCCTCTCAGAGGACCCCACACAGATCCCTTTGCCTATCTGTCCTGAAGCTGAGGATCTAGGGCTGCCCATCAGTAGTGAGTCTTTGGAAGGGAAGAGATGCTGGCCAACAAGAACTGCTGCCCTCCCAACACCTTCCAATATGGGAAGCTTCTTCTCCCAAGGGAAGGACAGACCACTATCAGAGTACCTGAGTCTGGATACGGTTCAGGCCCCGGAACCAGAGGATCTGGCCTCGGCGCAGCTCCATCTCAGCATGGTCAATCTCATCCAGCCCCTCAGCATCCTTGGTGATCTCCTCTTTGGTGGTGCCATGCCCAGCCTCCTTCAGGAACTTCAGGGAGCGGGTAGGTATTGCGGAGATGAACTGAAAACAAGTGCAGTGAAGAGGGAGACATCAGAATCAGCGTGAGAAGAGCTGTCAGTCAACTTACATGAGCCAGGCCCTTGGGCAGGTTACTCTTTGTCCTACCACGCTTCCCACTGGAAGAGCAGTGGACAGAAGTACCAATCCATCCAGGCAAGCATTCTCCAAGTGCCCACCAGTGGTCAGGCTCTTAGGAAGGCTTTCTGTATTTATGAACACACACAAAAGAGAGCTTATGTTCTAGTAACCAACCAGCCATCTGCCTGGTCATATACTTCATTTTTCTCTTTCTGTCTCATTTCTTCTGTTCCATTTTGCAATCTGTTTTTAAGGTTAACGTAACTATACTGCATGGTATGCAGTAGGAAGGGACAGAGACCAGGACCTGGGGGAAAACAGTCTGGGGAGAAGACGGTGATATCGTATATGTATGGGAAGGGGTTGAGAAGGGTATTGGAAATGAATGACCCCTTTCTTAGTTGCCATATGCAAAGTAGTTTCTGTGTTACAAACTCTCGTGAAAGGATATCGAAAGTTTTCTTGGGCTTGAGATGAGGAAGTGGATGGGATAGTCCATGGAAGAAGGGACACATGAGTATTATCAGAAGACAAGGAGCAGTACATTGGGCTTGAAATTCAAAATAAAATTTCCCGGTGAGCTCAGCACCTGTCAGTCATTTCTTTCCAGACAAGATGAGGAGTAGCCAGGGCTCACGTGGGGAAGAGGGACTGTATGGGCAATCTGATATGGAGTCAAGTGTTTTGAAATGGGAAGAATGCTAGAGCTCTGCTTCTGAATGTGGAAAGAGCTGCTGCGATACAGAAGGAAGGCTGCTGTCTGGCATAAGGCCCCATGGCCACATGTGAGGCAAGAGCCAGAACAGAGTTTCAAACAACAGGTGAAACAACCAAGCTTTACCAAAGCATAAAACTGCTTTAGGAACTCACTGATTTAAAAAATATATATATTCACCAAAAAGAACAGGATGGAGGGAATTGGGTCAGACATTAATTAGGGAGGGCTGGGTGCAGCGGTTCATGCCTGTAATCCCAGCATTTTGGGAGGCTGAGGCAGGAGGATTCCTTGAGCCCAGGAGTTCGAGATCACCCTGGGCAACACAGTGAGACCCCCATCTCTTTATTTTTTGTTTTTTGAGATAGAGTCTCACTTTTGTCACCCAGGCTGGAGTGGAGTGTCATGATTTCGGCTCATTGCACTCTGCCTCCTGAGTTCAAGCAATTCTGCCTCAGCCTTCCAAGTAGCTGGGATTACGGGCACGTGCCACCGTACTTGGCTAATTTTTTTTGTATTTTTAGTAGAGACGGGGTTTCACCATATTGGCCAGGCTGGTCTCAAACTCCTGACCTCAGGTGATCTGCTCGCCTTGACCTCCGAAAGTGTTGGGATTACAGGCGTGAGTCATTGTGCATGGCCTGAGACCCCCATCTCTTAAAAAAAAAAAAAGAAAAGAAAAGAAAAGAAAAAGAAATTAATCAGGGAGGCATCTAGATGTAAAATAAATAACTAGCAGGTTTAGGGTGGAAGGCCTGAAGCTCCAGAAAGAGCTCTTCGAGGCCAGTTAGGGCAAAGTGTCTATTACCTGGGTGGCTGGGCACTAAGGGATTGTTTGCAGAGACCTGGGGTCTGTAAAGAGAGGCATAGCCCAGGCCAGAGCGGAGGATGAGGGAGGTTTGTAAAGCGGTATTAAGGAAGAAGTGCAACTATTAGACTTGATGATACTATTATAATCTTAATAGCTTAAAATTTGAATGAGTATTTATAAGGTATTAGACATTAATCTAAGTCTTTTCTATATAGTAACTGATTCACTAATTAACAATGACCTTGTTTTCCTAAGTTGAAGACACTGAGACACAGATTGGTTATGTAACTTGCCCAAGATGATTCAGCTTATAAAAAGGAGAGCTGAGGCCGGGCACAATGGCTCAGGCCTGTAATCTCAGCACTTTGGGAGGCCATGGCAGGTGGATCGCCTGAGGTCAAGAGTCTGAGACCCGCCTGGCCAACATAGTGAAACCCTGTCTCTAATAAAATACAAAAAATTAGCTGGGTGTAGTGGCAGGCACCGTAATCCCAGCTACTTGGGAGGTTGAGGCAGGAGAATGGCGTGGACCTGGGAGGGGGAGGTTGCAGTGAGCCGATATCGCGCCATTGCACTTCAGCATGGGCAATAAGAACGAAACTCCATCTCAAAAAAAAAAAAAGGAGAACTGGGCTGGGCGCGGTGGTTCACGCCTGTAATCCCAGCACTTTGGGAGGCCAAGGCAGGCAGATCATGAGGTCAGGAGTTTGAGACTAGCCTGGCCAACAAGGTGAAACTCTGTATCTACTGAAAATATAAAAATTAGCCAGGTGCAGTGGTGGGTGCCTGTAATCCCAGCTACTTGGGAGGCTGAGGCAAGAGAATTGCTTGAACCCAGGAGGCAGTTTGCAATGAGCCAAGATCACACCACTGCACTCCAGCCTGGGTGACAGAGCAAGACTCTGTCTCAGGAAAAAAAAAAAAAAGTTGGATTCAAACCCAGACAGTCATTCCCAGAGTCCAACCACACGCCACACTGCTACTCTAGAGATCTTGTAAATCTGAATTTATCTCAGGTAAGAGTTAAGCATTCCACCCAGATAAAGCCATGGCAAGAAACAGAAGAGGCTGGGAGCCCTGAATTATGTCAGCCTGGCAGCCCACAGCCAGGTTGCTGTCTCATGAGAATAAAGACACATGTCTTGTAAACTCTTCTATTTCTAAGACCGTTATTATATTTATTTTTTTGTAGCAAAATTCCATTGAAAAGTTTAGTTTCTGTCCCAGAGAAGCCAAGGGATTTTTCTACCTCCAGGCATGGTTAGAGAAGAATTCTGAAACTTCTGAAGTGATCACTCCACCTTGAGATCCTATGAGATGGCAAGAACTTGAAAACTTGAGTGGGGGTGGGGAGGAAGGAAGAGAAGATGAAGAGGAGGAGCTGGGGGGTCTCCACAGTTGCTTGATCCATCTCCTGTAGAGGAGGAGAGGTCTGCAGGCTGTGAGAATGCACCAGGAGGGTGTGCCGGTACTCACCTGGCCCCAAAGAAGTTCTCCAATCCCAATGAAGAGACACCACAACCACTGGGACAGGCTGAGGCTTGTACAACTGAAGGGTTTACCCCCAAATTCCACGATGAAAATCTAGAACAGAGAAAGGGGCAGCCCACCATCAAGGAAATGACTAACAGGCAGCTGGCCCTCCAGCCAAGGCCCCCAAAGCCACATCATCCCACTGCCTCAGGATCCTTGGGTGCAAGTCCTGATTTGCTTGCAGGGGAAGGGAAAAGAAGAAATCTCAAAGGGGAGACAGACAAAAACAGCCTTTACAGAGCACTGTGACGGGGAGACAGACATAGTTACTGTGACTATGATTCACAGACGATCTGGAGGAGTTAGGGGAGCTGGAGGCTTCCTGTGACTAAAAGCCAGTTAGTGACAAGGAGAAGGTACAGTGGTGGAGTGAGGAACTGAGGATGAGGTGGGAGGATTGCCTGAACTTGGGAGATTGAGGCTGCACTCCAGCCTGGGTGACAGAGAGACAGAGAGATCCTGTCTCAAACAAACAAAAAAAAAAAAAAAAAAAGAAAAAAGAAAAAAAGAAAAAAAGGCCAGGCACAGTAACACTTTGGGAGGCAGGAGGATTGCTTGAGGCCAGGAGTTTGAGACCAGCCTGGGCAACAGAGTGAGATCCCATCTCCATTTTTAAAATTAAATTTAAAAAAAGGAATTGAGGATGGGGACAAATAAAGGGAGGTACCCCGCTGAGGGATGGGACAGGAGCTCTTCTGTTACATAGTCAGCTCATAGTCTCGTACCGGAGGAGTGCAAGCTGGGCTGACTATGTAATATATGTGTACAATCCCATTACTTCTCTTTCTCTGAGTTGCACAACACTTTTTATCATAAGCCCTTCAGAACAAAGAGGCAGGGACAGGGAGAGTCTATACTAGATGTGCATGCACATTTCATATAGGCTGACAGGAGCCACAGAAAGGGACTAGAAGAGAACGACACTTCTTCTGGTCACTCTGTGAAATTTCTGTGTATTTAGAAAGATCATGAAATGATTTTAGAAGTATTATTTTATTTCCAGTCAACATGCTACCCTGCACTGGAGCTCTTGACACACTGGGCTCCAATTCTAGAGCAATGGGCAAAAGAAAGCAAATTGGGAATCCCAAAGTCCCCCAGTTCCCTCATTCCTTTTCTTAGGTGTGTAGGGAGCCCTGTCCCAGTCCCCATAATTCCCTCATTCCTTTTCCTAGGTATGTAGGCAACCCTGGCTCCCAGCTTCTGCCCTTTGTCATCCCAGATCTCCTGCCCCAACTGCAGACAGAATCTCACCTGGCAGATGAATGTGCCCAAGACTACAGAGCAGAAGATGATGTTGCGGTAGATGCCTGAAAAGACGTTCTTCTCTCCGTGGATCTTTCGGGAGTTGATTTCATTGAAGAGCTGCATCAGCACGAAGGTGTTAAAAACAATGGTATAGTGCTGGGTGGGTGGTGAATGTAGAGGTGCCTTCCTCCCACTATCAATATCAAAGAATTTCTCACCTAGTGGGGAGAGGAGAAGCACTGGAGGTTAAGTGTGGTCTGAACTAAGAGTCAGAATGTGTTGGTACAGCTATACTGCTTGCTTATGGCTGGTGTCCATTCTAATTGATCAATATCTGAGCTGTACTAGTTATTTATTTTTTTGACATAGGGTCTCACTCTGTCGCCCAGGCTGGAGTGCAGTGGTATGATCACGGTTCACTGCAGCCTGGACCTTCCTGCTCAAGTGATTCTTCCACCTGAGCCTCCCAAATAGCTGGGACTACAGGCGTGCACCACCATGCCTGGCTAATTTCTTGTTGTACTTGTTATTACATATTTCAAATGTTAGTTCTGGTCTTATTTTACCTTCCCTCTCAGTTTGCTGCATTGATACCTGCTCTCATGTAGTGCAGCATGGTAGTAAGACTATGTGCGCTGGAGTCAGGCAATCACAGGTTTGAATTTTAGTGCAACTATGTACTCATTATGGGACCTGAACTTAATTTTTTGCATCTATAAGAAAGAAATAGGCTGGGTGTGGTGGCGCATGCCTGTAATCCCAGCACTTTGGGAGGCCGAGGTGGGCAGATCACAAGGTCAGGAGATCAAGACCATCCTGGCCAACATGGTGAAACCCTGTCTTTACTAAAAATACAAAAATTAGCCGTGTGTGGTGGCGCATGACTGTAATCCCAGCTACTCGGGAGGCTGAGGCAGGAAAATTGCTTGAACCTGGGAGACGGAGGTTGCAGTGACCCGAGTTAGCGCCACTGCACTCCAGCCTGGGTAACAGAGCGAGACTCCATCTCCAAAAAAAAAAAAAAAAAAAAAAGAAAGAAAGAAAGAATAAAGCCTCCCTTGTGAAATTATTATTGAGTACATACAGTACACACAGTACTGTCTGTACTCAAGAGTACTGTATGAGTACGTACAGTAGCATAATGCACCATGTAGCAGAGCACAGGAAGCACTGGGAGGTGAAGCTGCACTTATTCCTGGTCTGTGTGCTTGCTCTCACGCTACCTTCTTTCTCTGCCTCCACCTCTAACCAGCACCCCAGCTGCTAGCCCACCCCCAAAGTGGCTCACCCGCAAAGACAAGGATAAAGATGACAAGGAGCTGATAGAACGCATGGCCCAAGATGTTCTTCATCATAGTGCGTGAGATCAGAGGCTTATTTCGGCCATAGGGGCGCCGCTTCAACAGAGATTCCGTAGGGGGCTCTGTGGCCAGGGCCAATGAAGCAAAAGTGTCCATGATTAGATTAACCCATAACATCTGCACAGCTTTCAGTGGGGAATCCTGGTGGGAAGAAGAACCAGTCCTTTTAGCTTTTCTCAGAAACCAGCCCACCTTTGCCCTGTCGATGGCCTAGCTCCCACGACCCACCTAGACTTGGAATCTGGCCACTTCCTAGCTGAGTGACTGTGAGAAACTTACTTAACTTCCTTGAGCCTCAAGTTCCTCACCCGTAAAATGGGGATAATAATACCTACCTCACAAGGTCATTTTTGAAGAATACAGATAGTGCATATAAATGCTTATTATAGTGGCTGACACGTAAGTGCTAAGCGAAGGCCTGTAAGTTACCATCATTCCACATAAGCAGATGAAGACAGCGGACTTAGAAGAGCTAACTCCTGTCCCAACGTCACAGGGAAACCCTGTCTTTACTCTTCAGTAAACACACCGTACCCTCCACCCCATATTCCTTAGCCCCTGACTCATCCCTCCCGTCTCAGCCCACCCACACCCCCTTCACCTGAGTGATACAGGCTCCAGCAAAGGCTACAATCACGGCCACCACGTTGACAGTGAGTTGGAACTGCAGGAACTTGGAGATGCTGTCATAGACGTTTCGTCCCCACATCACTGCCTTCACAATGCTAGTGAAGTTGTCATCTGTTAGGATGATGTCTGAAGCCTCCTTTGCTACATCTGTGCCTGCGATGCCCTGAGGTAAGATGGGAGGGAAAATAGTGAGGGAGTGGATAAAGCCCAGGCTCCGTTTCCTGACCTCCAGGAAGCTTCAGACTTTGGTGTAAATACTACAGGGCACACTAGCCACACAAAAGAAAACAAAGAGCAAATGTGTCACTGTCACTCTATAGAAAGGATGGCTGGGGCCTGATGTCACCAACCTTACTGTTGAGCCCAGACTGGGAATTACAGTCATCTGTGATATCCCTTGCACCCTCCCCTCCTACTCCCTCAACCTTAGAAACTAATTAAAAGGTAGAGAGCAAATCCTGTCTATTCTACCTCCAAATTCTTACATTTCTGTTGCCACTGCCAGTATCTCATTTAAGCTCATGTCATTCCGACACTGTTGAGAAACTCTGCATTTGTTCTAGGAGCAGTAGTATGGCAGCACAGTTCCAAAGTTTCATCTTTGTTCAAAATTTTCTTTTTAAATTAAATTAAAAAAAAATTCGAGACAGGGTCTTGCTTTGTTGTCCAGGCTGGATAGCAGTGGCACTCAGCTCAATGCAAGCTCTGCATCTGGGGCTCCAGTGACCCTCCCACCTTGGTCTCCTGAGTAACGGGACTACAGGCATTTGCTCATCCTGCTTGGTTAATTTTTAAATTTTTTGTAGACATGGGGGTCTCTCTATATCGCCCAGCTTTATAATCACTATTATGAAATAATCTCCAAGTTATGTTGTTAAGTGGAGAAAGAAAGGTAGAAAAAAGAGTTTATGGTATGGTATCACTTATCTAAGGGGGCAGGCCATAAATATATTACATTTATTTATTTATTTATATTTTTTGAGACAGAGTCTTGCTCTGTTGCCCAGGCTGGAGTGCAGTGGTGTGATCTCGGCTCACTGCTACCTCAGACTCCTGGGTTCAAGTGAGTCTCCTCTCCTGCCTCAGCCTCCTGAGTGGCTGGGATTATAGGCATGCACCACCATGCTGGGCTAATTTTGTATTTTTAGTAGAGACAGGGGTTTCATCATGTTGGCCAGGCTGGTCTTGAACTCCTGACCTGAGGTGATCCACCCGCCTTGGCCTCCCAAAGTGCTGGGATTACAGGCATGTGCCACCATGCCGGGCCCGCATTTGATTATATTTTAAAGGAGCAAACCGAAGAATAAACCAAAAATGATAGAAAAAAATTACCTATTGAATTAAGAGGTAAGCAACAAGGCAAAGGCAACGAGGGTAGAAGCCGGATTTCTATGAATATACCTTGTTTTGCACATTTGACTTTAGAATCATGTATTTTATTTCTCTCGCTTCTTTTTTTTTTTTTTTTTTTTTGAGACAGGGTCTTGCTCTGTTGTCCAGGCTGGAGTGCAGAGGTGTGATCTTGGCTCACTGCAGCCTTGAACTCCTGGGCTCAAGCAATCCTCCCACCTCAGCCTCCCGAGTAGCTGGGACTACAGGTATGTGCCAGCACACTTGGCTAATTTTTATTTTTTTTTAGAGATGGGAGTCTCACTATATTGCCTGCCTCAAAATCCTGGCTTCTAGTGCTCCTTGCCCCTTGGCCCCCCAAAGTGTTGGGATTGATTACAGGTATGAGCCACCACACTGGCCTAAAAAGCAATCTCTAAAATGGAAAGTAACATGATATAAATGATCTGGTCGCCACTTGGTGGCACAAGTGCACACAAAAAAATGTTACAAATGCCTTAAAAACAATAATTTGATGGCACATTCCTGGTAGCATATACCTATGGATAAAAGGAACTATAAGAAAAATATTGAATTATTTTTGGCAGAGTAATTGTATTATTAATACTATTGATATTTTGTAACCACTTGAAATATTTTAGAATAAAACAAAAAATAATCATGTTAATGCCATTAGGAATCAAAATTTTCAGCTTAAGGGATACAAACATAAAATCAGGGAAGTTAAATACAATTAGAAGCTGGGTGTGGTGGCTCATGCCTGTAATCCCAGCATTTTGGGAGGCCAAGGTGGGCAGATCACTTGAGGGCGGGAGTTCGAGACACCCCCTGGCCAAAATGGCGAAACCCCATCTCTACTAAAAAATACAAAAATTAGCAGGGTGTGGTGGTGCATGCTTGTAATCCCAGCTACTGAGGACGCTGAAGCAGGAGAATTGCTTGAACCTGGGAGGCAGAGGTTGCAGTGACCCAAGATCATGCCACTGCACTCCAGCCTGGGCGACAGAGTGAGACTCTGTCTCAAAATAAATAAATAAATATATAAATAAATAAAATAAAATTCGAACGTTATAAATTAGGAAGTTAGACATCTATAATTCTTTTAAAAATTATTATTTATTATTATTTCTTCTAAAAGTGGAATAAAAAGAAATATATAATTCTAAAGTTAAATGAAAAACAGAAATACGGAGCCTTGGAACATGTGATTTTAAATGAACTTTCCAAGTGATTCTGATGCTCTTGGCCTCAGAAGTGAAAAGCAGAGTACCCAGTGGTGCCAGCCACACAGTGCGCTTCCCATAGGAAACATGAATCTTCTAGAGTTTGCCCAGTTGACAACATCACATGTTTATGGGCAAGTTTATGTTGGTCTGGCTTTCCTGCATATGATCCTTCATGACTTCCCTCCCTCTGATCTACTCTTCATACTTGATGGGTCCCCAATTACATATATAACGATTGACCAGGTAGATAGGAGAGATGGAGTTGGACAAAAAAGCACCCCGTGGGCTATGCCGGTGTAGCAAGCAGCAGGCAACCAGAAGCCGGACCTGGCTTTCTGATGGAGAAGGCAGCTTGCAATCAGAGAGACGCTGTGCTGAGCTTACCATGGCAAAACCAACATCCGCTTTCTTCAGAGCAGGTCCGTCATTTGTGCCATCACCAGTGACAGCCACAACCTGCCGCTGTTCCCCAACAGTGCTGTCAATGATGCCTGGGGGAAACAGACACACCACAGTGAGGTTTTCTGGTCTCCCTCACCCCTCAGTTCTACCACCCGCCACTCCTTCTACTTTCCTCTTTCCTTCCCTTTTCCCTTTCCTAGAGGTTCTACAGGAACCACCCAAGGGCAGTAAGTTGTTTCATGGGTAGCACTGAACTACGTTTGTCCTCATCTGGTACCCTAAGGCAGCTATGAATAACACATTGGATGGATTTCAAGGCAGAGACCTAGGGGTCAAACTGCACCATTTCCAGCTGGGCAATTTGGGTAAGTTACTTGTCTTCTCAGCCTCAAACTTCCTCATTTGTAAAATGGGAATACCTGCCCTGCCTAGTTCACAGTACTATTGGTAAATAAGACATGATCATGTTTTTAAGAACCCAACAACTTGCCAGGTGCAGTGGCTCACGCCTGTAATCCCAGCACTTTGGAAGGCTGAGGTGGGCAGATCACCTGAGGTCAGGAGTTCAAGACCAGCCTGGCCAACATGGTGAAACCCTGTCTCTACTAAGAATACAAAAATTAGCCAGGCATGGTGGTGGGCGCCTGTAGTCTCAGCTACTCAGGAGGCTGAGGCAGGAGAATCACTTGAACTCAGGAGGCGGAGATTGCGGTGAGCCGAGATTGCGCCACTGCACTCCAGCCTGGGTGACAGAGCAAGACTCTGTCTCCAAAAATAAAAACAAAAAATAAAAAAATTAAAACCCAACAACTTTATTGTGTGTCATACTCACCAAGGGCTCGGATGTTTGCTAACTGTATGTTCTCCCCAAATAGCCTGGGAGATCTCCTAGGACCTCCCTATTTGGACAGGAGAGTGACTTTGGCTGGTGGTTCTTATCTGTCTTCGCCCTGGCCTGCCTTCAGCTGTTGCAGGCACCTATTTGGAAGCCAACCTCACCTTTCACCAGAGTGTGCTTGTCAGTGGGAGAAGATCGCGCCAGGACCCGAAGCTTAGGCCAGATCTTGTCCAGCTTTTCTTGCTCTACCTGCCAACACCAGACCACACCTGGATCAGTCAAACTCAGAAAAGCTATCCAGGAAAGTCTTGCTTCTCCATATACTTGGAGCCACTGGGAGATTGGGTACGCCACAGTCCCACATGACAGTGTTATTCTGGCTTCAGCAGAGATTAAACAGCCAACCAGTCTCCAAGGGTAGATTCATGGATGATGACCATTCAGGCCCTGCTTTTTTTCTTTTTCCTCCCAAGTCCCTACCTGGGAGCCAATCCCCCATTTCCCAGACCTTTAACGGGAGGTGGGCCAGGGTTGGCTGTTGGCTCGGGTGGGTAAAGTGGTGCTTCGGAGGTCTTAGGTATGATTTCTATGTAGCTCAGGAAGCTTGGATCTGTGCCACTGCCAGACCACATTCTCCTTTAGCCACTGTTAGCCAAAGGGCAGGGACACAGGAGGGGTGGGCTAGCGGGAAGTCAGTAAAAAAAACTGAAAAAGCAGAAAGACATGAAAAATTAGTGACACTGTCTCAAAAGATAGCTAGTGAGCTCACCAGCTTCATTCACAAGCAACTCCCATTTTTTTGTTTTTGAGACGGAGTTTCGCTCTGTTGCCCAGGCTGGAGTACAGTGGCGCGATCTCGGCTCACTGCACCCTCCGCCTCCCAGGTTCAAGCTTGTCTCAGCCTCCCCAGTAGCTAGGACTATAGGTGCATGCCACCATGCCGAGCTAATTTTTGTATTTTTAGTAGAGACAGAGTTTCACCATGTTGGCCAGGATGGTCTTGATCTCTTGACCTTGTGATCCACCCGCCTTGGCCTCCCAAAGTGCTGGGATTACAGGCATAAGCCACCGTGCCCGGCCAGCAACTCCCAATGTTACCATATGAGCAGCTTTGGTACAAGGAGATGTTTCACTATAAATAGCTTTCACTTTAGAAAACACCCACTTTCCCGCACATGACCCAGATGTCTTATGCTGGAACCCGCCTTTTCCTCGTCAGGGGAGGTCCTGGATCCCCCTACCCAGGACCCACCTCGCCTTTCTCGTTGCGGATGAGCCGGTTGAATTCTTTGCCTTCTAAGCACAGGAAGTCATCCCCAGGTGTCAGAATGCCACATTTGGTGGCAATGGCCCGGGCTGTGTTGATGTTGTCACCTGTCACCATTCTGACAGTAATGCCAGCTTGTTTGCATTTGGCAATAGCATCTGGCACCTTCAGAGAGTGAAGAAAGGGGAAAGATGCAGATGAGGGTGGTGACCCTGGTAAGCTGTCCCTGTACGTCTGTCCCATTGTGGCAGACAGGAGAGAGGCACCCTAGAAGTGGTGCCATGTGGCATGGGCTAGGTCTGGTCATGTTGATATTGTTAGGTGCCACCTCACTTCTGTCCTACCTACAGCAGTCACATTTGAATTTGCCCTATTGCACCATGAGTTGAAGGGGAAATTTGCTTTGGGAGCCAGGTGTAAAAACTTGCTCTCCACTCACAATCGAGACTCCTTGGCAGGGCATGGATGGCATTTTGCGATTTGGCCACTGCTTTCTTTTCTAGCAGAAGCTTCTGCCACTCTCCACCCACCTGGCCCATGCTCCAACCATATCAGCTCTTTGTAATTTCCCACATGCATGACACCCTCTCATGCCTCTGGGCCTCGACAATTAATAGTCCATCTGTCTATGCTTCTTAGAAGCAGAGATTTTCAATCCCCTAGTGTCTAGAATAGTTATCAGCACACAGCAGTTACTCAAAAAGAATGTGTTGATTGAAAGGAGGGAGCTAAAGACAAAGTTGGTGTCCTGATTAAATCAATCTCCTGACAATACTTAAGTGTCAAATAATGAGCCCAATAAGCCCTTTGCTTCTGAACACTCAGACAGCATTAACCCTAGGAATGCCACATTCTATCAAACTGGTACTCCACAGCAGTCCTGTGAAGCAGGAAGCACAGAAACATCTATCCCTGTAAGTGAGAAGCAGTTAGGTTACCTGCCTGGGGTCACAACTAGAAAGGGAACTAGTACTCCACTTCCTGAGACTCCTGGGTGGCTTCCCACCCTCTCACCTCTGGGCGCACAGGGTCCTCAATGCCCACCACTGCGATACAGGTCAGTTCAGTGAGGATCTCATTCTCATTGTCCCAAGAGGGCTCTGCGTCATTGAAATCCCGGTAAGCTATGCAGATAGTCCGGAGTCCATCACAGGCCATGGGCTCGATGACAGTGCGTATCATATCATCTCTGTCTTTATTCCTGAATGGCACTGCTTCCCCTTTCCGGTCCAGGATTCGATTACACCTGGGGAGGCGCACAGTAAGAACACGGTGTCTCCCTTCCCACTCAATACATTTCTACAATCATTGACAGACATTTTGGCCACTCTGTATTATTCCTAAAGACATTGCTCCAAGCGTGGCCAAACATTTCCTTCGTCCATCACCCAGCGGAGTCCCTCTTTCCAAGGTGGGTGGGCTGTGGATGGAGTAAGGTCTAGGTAGGTAGAGAGTAGGATTCTCCCATGTCATCTATTCTTACCCATATGTGAATGCAATGCGAGTCATTTGTGAATCCCCTGCTCTTTTGAACTTCTTGAAGGCAGAGAGACTTTTTCAATCCGAGTATTCAGAATAGTGCTCACTGTGTGGTGGTGGTTTAGGGGGAGGTTTCCTATACAAGAATGTGCTGATTAAAAGAAGGTGGCTAAAGCCAAGTTGGGGTACTGGTTAATTCAGCCCTACTGGCCCTATACCTAAGTAGGGTCAACTTTTGATGATCTATGGGTAATCTATTAATAGTCACTTTTTTTTGGTGAGACAGAGTCTCACTCTGTCACCCAGGCTGGAGTGCAGTGGTGCGATCTTGGCTCCCTGCACCCTCTGCCTTCTGGGTTCAAGCGATTCTCCTGCCTCAGCCTCCTGAGTAGCTGGGATTACAGTGCGCACCACTATGCCCGGCTAATTTTTGTATTTTTTTTTTTTAGTAGAGACAGGGTTTCACCATGTTGGTCGGGCTGGTTTCGAACTCCTGACCTCATGATCCGCCTGCCTCGGCCTCCCAAAGTGCTGGGATTACAGGCGTGAGCCACTGCGCCTGGCCGAATAGTCACTTTTAAAGTTACATAAATTCCCTGTAATCAGAAATGGGAATGGGAAGGAAAGAGAAGGAAAAGAGAACACAGAACAAACATTTCTAGTACTTGTTATGTACAAGGCATTTTACATACATTGAATCATTTAGTTACAGTGAGGAGCTGAGTACCGCTCTCTCTGTTTTCAGATTAGGAAATGGGAACGGAGGATCGTCCAGGTCTGAATCCTGGCTGTGCCACTGTCAGCTGTATCACCTTGAGTGAGATACTTAACTTCCTTATATCTCTGTTTTCTCATCTGTAAAACTGGGATCATCACAGTACCCACCTTCCTGAGTTGTGAGGATTAAATACAACAAGCCACCGTAAGCACTTAAATAACATGCGTGGCTTGAGTAGACGCTTGGATATTAGTTATTATGGTACCACCTGGCTGGAGGGCTCCCTCATCCGCATGGGTTCAGTGTGGGGTGTGCACCCATGCCTTCCTGAGGAGAGGCTCTTGAAGGGAAGCAGAGCTGTCAGGGGTGCTCACTTGCGCAAGATGATCTCAGAGGCGCCCTTGCTGTACATACGGAAGCCACCGCTGGGATTCCTGATGACGGTGCTCATTGACTTGCGCACTGAGTTGAAGGTGTACACTTTGTAGAGCTTCTCCTCGGGCACTTCATTACGCACAGCCTGGTAATCCTGCTTCAGATCTGTGACAAAGCCTAGCAGGGCACACTCGGTCTTGTTTCCCACCTGCCGAGGCAGGCCTCCCTCCTTCTCTGGAGGCTGGGAGAAGAAATATACACAGCACTAGTGAGTAAGATGCCTTGACAAGGCAGAGAACTTAGGGAGGAACGAACTCATTTACAAAGCCTTCACATTATATACCTGGAGCTCATGGGGGAAATAACATTTGTTTTTTGTTTTTTTTTCTTTTCTTTTTTAGAGATGGAGTCTCGCTCTGTTGCCCAGCCTGGAGTGCAGTGGTACAATCTTGGCTCACTGCAACCTCCACCTCCCGGGTTCAAGTGATTCTCCTGCCTCAGCCTCCCGAGTAGCTGGGTCTACAGGTACCTGCCACCATGCCCAACTAATTTTTGTATTTTTAGTAGAGATGGGGTTTCACCATGTTGGTCAGGCTGGTCTCAAACTCCTGACCTCAGGGGATCTGCCCACCTTGACTTCCCAAAGTGTTGGGATTACAGGCGTGAGCCACCGCACCTGGCATCTTTTTTGTTTTTCTTTTTGACATAGCATCTTGCTCTGCTGCCCAGGCTTGACTGCAGTGGTGTGATCTCAGCTCACTGCAGCCTTGACCTCTTAGGCTCAAGTGATCCTCCCACCTCAGCTTCCCGAGTAGCTGGGACTACAGGTGCGCAATCATGCCTGGCTAATTTTGTTTATTTTTGTAGAGATGAGGTCTCACAATATTGCTCAGGCTGGTCTCAAACTCCTGGGCTCAAGCGATCCTCCCACTTTGGCTTCCCAAAGTGCTGGGATTACAGACGTGAGCCACTATGCCCAGCCTGTTTTTTTTCAAGGATAGGCAGAGAGTGGTCAGTAGTAACTGTGATCCTTGTGCCATCCAGGGCTTAGGGATTTTGTAGTTTGCTCTAGTGGTAGTGCTGGTGTCTCGCCTTGTGTGGGTCTTATTCTAATACTCTGTGCTTGTTTCTAGAAAGTGAGTAATTTACTTCTGATAGGCCCAATTCTACTTTGGGATACGTTCTACTTGCCCTCCTTAGAGACATTGCCTTTACATGCTAGTTGGGAGGGTATTTCCTGGCCATAGATTCTTACAGGCCCTTGCCCTGAACCCTCCATTGACTCCCAGGTACTTTTCCATAGTCTCACCCAAACATGTTCACTCCAGAGTGAGAAATGGTGCTCACTCTCACCTGGGATGAGAATTTAGGGATGGCAATTTAGGCAGTGTAAACAATAAGCGGGTTCATTTCAGAGAAAATGGATGTTCCCTTCCAACCAACCACCCATTCTGAGTGTCTAGGCAAAGGAGATGCTTACCAGAATCTTGGAGGTATAAGCACTGTTGATAGAAATGCCATTGACAATGAGGTCCAGGACTTTGGGCAGGAAGACATCAGGGCTTGGGATTTGACGGTAATGGATGCCCCCAATATAAGCTTGTACCACAGTCATTCGGTTCATGGTCAACGTGCCCGTCTTATCAGAGCAGATGGCGGTGGCATTGCCCATGGTCTCACAAGCATCCAAGTGCCGCACCAGGTTATTGTCTTTCATCATTTTCTACAAAGGAGAAAAGACTTGAGGGGGGACTAACTGGACTCTCCTAAATATAGGTCAAAGCCATTTCCTAGCCAATATCTCTCCATATTTCATCTTCCAGTCCCACACAAAAATCCAAGATACTGGCTGGGTGCGGTGATTCATGCCTGTAATCTCAACACTTCGGGAGGCTGAGGTGGGCAGATCACCTGAGGTCAGGAGTTCAAGACCAGACTGGCCAACATGGTGAAACCCTATCTCTACAAAAGATACAAAAAGTAGCTGGGCATGGTGGTGCACACCTGTAATCCCAGCTACTTGGGAGGCTGAGGCACGAGAATCAGTTGAACCTGGGAGGCCGAGGTTGCACCATTGCACTCCAGCCTGGGTGACAGAGTGAGACTCTGTCTTAAAAAAAAAAAAAAATCCAAGATACCATTTTTGTCATTCTCTGAAGGTTCTACAGGGTCATTTCAACATTGATGCATCTGACAGAGATGGTCCTTCCATTAACACCAGGGACTTCTGCTCTTGTGAGGCACCAGCCAAAGTTTACAGATGATAGAATGGCTTATCTTTTCACTAAGGGTTACATGGTACCCTTTCCTCCCATCTCTATCCTAAAGGAAGAGATACGATTGTTCCAGTCTCACCTTCACAGAGTAGGCCAGTGAGATGGTGACAGCCAGAGGCAGCCCCTCTGGCACAGCCACCACCAGTACAGTGACGCCGATGATGAAGAACTTGACAAAGTACTGGATGTAGATGGGAGTACACTCAGGGAGCCATGGTCTGCGATTTATCACAAAGTTGTCAATCACGAAGTATAGAATCAGGATGAAAACTGTGAGAGCAGACATGAGCAGACCTGTCCAGAGAAACAAGTCACATGAACCCAGGCCTGAGGGCATTCCTAGGGCCCTAGCCAGAGATAGAATGGCATCAGTTGTAGCCTTTGTTGCCAATTGTTAAAACCACCATCTCCAGGAAGACTTACTAAAATCCCCGCCCAGTCTCTGTTGCTTATACATTATAGCATAAGGAACAAACACTGGTTTCGTATTTCAAAGACACAGGTTCTATTCTCAGCACTGCACTAACTTGACTTGTGGCTTTGGACAAGTCATTGACCCTCTCTGGGCCTGTTTCCTAGATCAAATTCCTCATTCATAAATCAGGGGGTTGATCTGTTTCCTGAAACAGCATTCTATGATCCTATTCCACACCCACCCTCTCCCTACGATTCATAATGTCATGACTGTATTTGTCCATTTCCTAGTAGTTTATCAATTTTGACTTCTCCCCTACTAACCTCCGAATGCTGGACAATTCACACCTTGTTTACAGCAATGCCTCTGTGGTGCTAGTGTATCACCTGCATGGCTAACTCTTAGAACAGTGCTTCCCAAACTTTCTCTTGTCATGGCACACATAGAAGATGCCAATAACAGTAAATATTTATGTGGGCACCTACTGTGGGCCAGGCAAGCACTTCACAACAACCCTGTGAAATAGGTTACTATTATCACTCCCTTTTTAAAGATGACGAAATGAAAGTACTGAGAGGTCTTTGGTATGGCCCATTGGTAGAGTGACCAAACCATCCCGAGACTACTGAACAGTTTCCAGGGATGTGGGGTTTTGCTAAAATTGAGAAAATCCCAAGCAAACTTGGACGGTTGGTGACCCTACACATTACAGTACATGAAAGAATCTGCTGAAGGTCAAAACCGACTGGCCTAGGGATTCTGATTGCCATGGGTGCTGCCTGAATGCTTTGAGGGCTGATGGAATCAGTATCTGGGGACAACTGTCCCTAACTGTGGCACAATATTTGGGAAAAGCTCTGCTTTAAATCATTGTCTGGTTTTGGTTTTTGCTTTTCCCAAGGGCCAGATGATTCAGGGGCCTCCAAGCAAGGCTAGAGATGATGATATCAATGAAAGCAAATTCTTCTGTACTTTACTTGATTAGGGCCAGGACTCAGGTGGAGAAGCAAGCCACTGAGGGTGCAAAATTAAGAAGGAACTCACTCTTCAGGTGGTGGAAGGCATCTGACTTGCCTCACCCTATTCCTGGACTGGCCTAACATATAAAATAAAGCAACAAAGGAGACTAGTGGCCAGCCATCAGGTAGCTTGTACTCTCTAAGAAGAACAAGGCAGGGGCCAGGTGCAGTGGCTCACACCTGTAATCCCAGCACTTTGGGAGGCTGAGGCCGGCAGATCACTTGAGGCCATGGGATTACTTGAGGCCAGGGGCAGATCACTCGAGGACAGGAGTTCAAGACTAGCCTGCCCAACATGGCGAAACCCTGTCTTTACTAAAAATTAGCCAGGCATGGTGGTGCATGCCTGTAATCCCAGCTACTCGGGAGACTCACTTGAACCCCTGAGGTGGAGGTTACAGTGAGCCAAGATTGCATCACTGCATTCTAGCTTGGATGACAGAGTGAGGCTTTCTCACAAACAAACAAATAAGCAAAAACAACAATAAAAAAACAAGGTAAGGATTAGGAGAATAGTACAAGGGTTAGGTGGGGTATATTTAATGTTTCAGACCTGTGTGTTTGATTCTGCCCCTGCAATTCATCTCATCCATGTATAGTTTATATGCAAGAGATTTCACAGCAGTTAAAATTAGCTGGGCACTAGAACGGACACAAAGAGGTTAGGCCAACTCAGTCCAGTAGATCTTTCTGTGAAACGTAAGAAGTTCTCTATCTGTGCTGTCCAATATGACAGCCACTGCTAGCACATGTGGCTCGTGACCAACTAAAATGTGCCCCAGCAACTGGATTTTTAACTTTATTTACTTGTAATTAATTTAAATTGCAGCAGTCACATGTGGTGAGCGGCTGCTATGGTGGGCAGCATGGATCCCACCATCCAGTGTGTGCAAACTGAATCAGCGGTGTTGGCATCCTGTGGGGGTTTGTTAGGAATGCAGAATCTCAGGCTCCACACCAGACCCTCTGAACTGAATCTACACCTTAACAAGACCCCCAGGTAAGTTGCACACAGCTGTATAAAGTGCAGAAATGTGCTGATTATGATTGTGGTAAACAGAAAGGTGGAATCACAGAATAAACAGTGGTAAAAGACTATTCTCTGGCAGGGCACGGTGGCTTATGCCTATAATCCCAGCACTTTGGGAGGCCGAGGTGGGCGGATCACTTGAGGCCAGGAGTTCGAGACCAGCCTGGTCAACATGGTGAAACCCCATCTCTACTAAAAATACAAGAATTAGATGGGCGTGGTGGTGTGTACCTGTAGTCCCTACTACTTGGGTGGCTGAGGCAGGAGAATCGCTTGAACCCAGGAGGTGGAATCTGCAGTGAGTTGAGATGGTGCCACTGCACTTCCAGCCTGGGCAACAGAGAAAGACTCCATCTCAAAAAAAAACCCCAAAAAACAAAAAACAAAAAAACTATTCCTTGAGGGATATGTCCACTGAAGTAGCAATCTTCTATTTCTTCTTCCCACTCCCCATTCTCCCCCTCCATTGAAAGAAAGTGGTAAGACAGGAAAATGCAGAGGCAAGTGATGGAGAAGCCACTTTCTCATATGCAGAGTGCATTTAGAGAGGGCCTGTCTAACCACAGCCTTCCTTCTTCCTCCAGTCCTTACTTGGTATTTATTGCTTTTTGCTTGGCCAGATCCTACTACTATGCTAGGGAATTGCCTCTAGCAAGCTGCAGCCTTCTCTATCTTTAAGGAATTTACAACCCAAAATAAGAGACAGGTAAGTAGTTATTAAAATCTTCCTTCTTGCTAATGTAAATCTCCCCTACTGTAATATATGCTCTTTACTTCTCATTCATTTGGATTAAGAGATCTCACGGCCATTAACCCTTACACACAGGAAAACATTTCTCTCTGAAAAAGCCTAGGGAGAAACCAAACAGTGGCGGAGATAGGGACACAGCTGCCTAGCCCCAAGTAGCCATTCTGAAGTTTCACCTTCTTTCTGCCAGTCTCAGTTGGTGCAGAAAGAAGGGGATAAAAGTGATGAGGATGCAGGATAACACTGATAACCACAATGAGGCTGTACCCTACTCACCAGCTTTCCCAATCTGAACAGCCAGGCGAGTCAGCTTGCCCTGCAGCACTGACTTCTCCTTTTTAGGCACCTTGACTGCCTTCTTGTCTTTTTCCTCATTGTCGATTCCCTCCTGGCTATTGAGTGGCTGGATTTCCAGGGCCACTCCGTCTTGGGTCTTTGCTAGAGTGTACACACAAATAGGACAGGTGAGCAGGCAAGGTGGTAGCACTGAGTGGCAGGCAGGTGGAAACCAAAAAACCTTCCTGTCTCTTTCCCAGAATCTACCTTGGACCTGACATCAGTCCCGACCACTCGCAACCCATGCTAGACATGGAACTTGCCTTCAACACTCTATTAGGGCCTTTGGAATAATATTCTAATGACTTCAGATGAAACTGGGGTGCTTTTAGGATATGGATTTCTTCTTCAGTGGCAGCTTCCTGGCACTACCTGAGTCCCAAGCCAGATTTATTCCAGCAAGGGGATTAATCATGTCACTAAGCGCTATTAAAACAACCATCCTTCCTGGAACTCAGTGCTTAAAATAGTGAATCTTTACTGCAGAAAGGGGCTGAAGGAGAGGGTTGGTAGATGTTTCTAGAGCACAAGATTGCTCTGTTAAATGGTTTATCTCTCTCTCTCTCTCGATTGTCAGGGAAGAAACACATACCCCCAGACCCAGGGTATTTTCCAGCTCCTTCTAGCAGTTGAAGGATAGGAAAAGAAAATTCCCTTTCTTCCCTGCCTAACAAAGGTAGAGAGATACAGAGTGGGACCTAGGGTTAAGTCTTTTGGGGAAGAGGGAAGAAGCTGGTGTGAGGGACCTCCTGTAATAAGAGAAAGCAGGGATAAAGAGAGACATATAAATCCATTTTGCTTTTAAAAGAAGAGTTAAAGAACTAAAATTAAAGAATTATTTCTGTTTAGCTCTGGTTTTCTAATGTGATGACTTTATTTCTAAAGACTGCTGTGATGCGGGTTACAAAGTATAAACAAATCTCTAGGAGTGTCACAAGAGAGCAGTTCTTGCTGGCTCCCAGCACCACTCCATTTTCACCCCTGCAGGGCTCAGCCCCTTGCTTAGGATACCCTTCCTGAGTAGTCCCTGCTGTCAGACTCACAAACAAGAAGACAGAGATGGAATGTGAACACAGCCACCAAAAGAGAAACACACATCAGATCAGGAGGAAGAAAACAGACTGTGGCAAGAACAAAGAAGAGAGGTGGGGAGAGAGGTACAGAGAAAGGGCTCTCTCCAAGCACCCCTGAGAAGACCAGCAGAGAAGGGATCCAGACCAGAAGAGGACACCGATGAGGAAGCTATCAAGAGGAGGGTGCAGGGACTGCCCATCCCACCTCCCTCCGCCATGAGGACCCTGAAGTCTTCCAACCCAGGAACTGATGACTGTTGGTGTTTAAATCAGGCTGAGGGCAATGAAGCGGAGCTCAGCTCCCTGGGAAGAGCAGATCAATCCTACACACTCCCCAAGAGAAACCTTGACATGACATTCTGTGAGCCAACAGCAGAGGGTGCTGTTGTCCCATCTTAGATTGGGATCAGGCCCTTGAGACCACCCCAAAAATCTCTGCACCTTCCTCAGGATGAGGCATCTGAGCCACAGCAGGAGATAACAGATTTATGGAGAGGAAAAGGGAGAAGGCAGATGGCCTGGAAAGGTCTGGTTTGAGCGTGGGCAGGTAGAGATGGTAAATGAGTGGTTGGAGAGGTTACCTTTGTTGCGATTTTCAGGGACTCCTTGCTTTTTACCTGTTTGAACAAGAAAGAAAAAAGTGGGGTCGAAACCCAAAGTGACTATTAAGAGATCCAATTTGTTGGTCCTGCTCAGAGCCCAGAAGGGCGACAGTTAAGTGGTCGGGTTGCAGGGAAGGGACATAAATGTAAAGGAAGCTCACATCTCTGCTTTCATTCATTCTTGCTAGAGGCTCTCATGAATCCTCGGGATAGCCACCAAAACGCTCACGTAGGTGAGTGCATACTCACACCTGAGGTGCTTTCTCTTGCTCCTGGCCTGAGTCACATTGCTTGGAAAAATAGGGTGGGGATTAGGAAGTGAGAGATTTGAACTGTTTCTGCCTGATGGCAAAGACTCTGAAAGGTGTCTCCGTGTTACTTCAACAGCACCAGGCAAGCTTCCTCCTTATTCATCTGCAGGCAGCTGCAGAAATGAATTGTTTAGTTCCTGAGGGAATGTGTTTTGTTTCCTTTTCATAAACTGTCCTCCACTAAACAGCTCAAGATGATTCTCCAGCCATGTGGTAGAAACCTTCTCTCCCCTAAGGGAAGAAGGAATGCTTAGGGAAACGGGTAGACTTGGTTTTAGTATCTTTTCCTCTTTCTCCCTCTTATTCTTTCCTTCAGGAATAACTGAGGGGCAAAGACTGAACTAACTGTTCCTACTCTTCTAGCTGTGTGTCTCTTCCACTGAGAGCCCACAGTTTCGGCAGAAATCTATTTTATTCTTCTGGCCAGTTTTCTCTTAGTCTTGATGGTTCGTTTAACCCCCCATCTTTGAGGAAGAAAGTTGGGGGAGGAGGAGTACATGGAAGGCATTTGGGGCTACAGCACCTAGCCAGTTTATTTAGGGCAGGCTTTATAACTTACCCCTTTACAAGCCACCAATAGACACAAAAATCAAGCTCAAATTCAACCTGATTTGGGAGCCTAAAGCCAGGATCTGGTTTTCATCAGAGCCCCCTGGAGCCAAGGATTTACATCTTTATCTCAGCAAGGAGTTTGGATATCTGCTTTCTTCATCGCAGCAGATTCTTCTAACCATGCTTTCTATCCAGATCTGCTCCCTCACTTCCTTGTTTGTCCATGGGGATGAGAGGAAAGAGAATCTCAGTCCAGATGCCCCTTACCTTTCTTCTTCTTCTCCCCTTCGTCATCCTCATTGACCCCCAAGAGAGTAAGGATGATTCCAGTCTGAGAGTTGACACCAACAGCCGTCACCACCATCCGGCCAGAACCTTCCATGACATGGGTCCCTACATGGGAAAGGAGAAGATGGGAAGGAATGTTTTTTTTTAATACCTAGACATGATTTGATATGAAACACAAATTTAGAAGAAAAAAATAGTCCTCCCTACCCCATGGATAATGATGTGTTTAGCACAGTAGGAAAAGGTCAAGAGCTGGGCACATTTAAAACAGACCAGACAAACTGGGAGTAAGGAGGAAAATGTGTCTGACTGCTTTAGGGTAAGCCCTCCCTCCTGCCCCCACTCCCACCCCTGCAACCAGCAGAGCCCCTTCAAGGGCCTTATTACACTTGTTTCACGGAAAACTTCATTTAGGCTGCCTGATATCCTTGTATTCCACCCACCAAAATGCTGCTGCCCCAGTTGAATCCCAGGGAAGGAGATGGGACACAGTCAGAAGAGAGAACAGGGTCTGGATCCTGTGGCCTGGGTGTTTGCAGGGAGGTAAATGGGAACTTGGGTAGCCAGGGCCTATACCTGAAAGCAACATGGGGTCTTTGTCCAGGGACTTCTTGACATGATCGGATTCCCCTGTCAGAGAGCTCTCATCAATCTTCAGATCATTCCCTTGGATCAGGATCCCATCTGCAGGCAGCAGATCACCTAGAGCACAAAGGGGAAGAAGGGACAGTGAAGGAGATAGTAAGAGACTGGCTGAGGGTAGGGACCTCCAACTCCTTCAACCCCATCTCACGGCTGCTCCCGTGGGCCCTATCTGGAGGGCAATGGTCGTGAGTACATGGAGGGTCTTTACAAGACTTCAGCTCTGTACAACCTGGGAGAAGGTTGCTTTCCAGGCATTATAAATTCAAACTCTTATTCATCCCCACACCTTTCCATGGCCTGAATATTACACACTTTTAACCCTAAGACACACAGAGTACAAGTCTGACAATCTCGTGGCAGAGCTTCAGCTACTCCTTTCTGAAATTCCTTCCCACAACCTCTTTAAACTCTAACCTAGAAGTGAATACAGTTTTGGATCTTATCTTTTTGGGTTTTCAGCAATTCCCAGCCCCCTCATACCAAAGGACCTATCCCTTAAATGGGGGTGGTAGTGGGGTAAGCAAAAGAGACACGGAGCTCTCACCGTATTTGACTTGGGCAATATCACCGACCACAATCTCAGCCACAGGGAGCTGGATGAGTTGACCATTTCGGATGATGGAGAACTTTTGCTCCTGTTCAATGCGGTTCTGCAGCCCCCGGAATTGCTTCTCTTTGCTCCAATCATTAAAGGCAGTCACTAACACCACGATGATCACTGAGAAAAGGATGGCTGCCCCCTCAATCCAGCCAGCTTGTGCCTCACTTTCATCTTCTGGGGTACTTGCAACTTGACCACACACTATCCCAGGAAGGGAGAGAAATAGTCACTGAAGGGCTTTTGTTGACAATAAGAAATGGGAGTGGTGCTTCCACAATCCCAAGATAGAAAGTCAGGAAAAGTGAATAATAGCAAACACAACTGTTGGCTGGAAGAGGATATCAGAGGATAGTAGGATTGAGTATTATCTTATCACGAGTGTAACCATTTATGTTAATCCAAAAGAGGTAAATGACTAAATAGTACAAACTATCAAATTTAGGCAAGTCACATGTAAGGTCACACTTATGGTTCCCAACAGGGTCAGGCTTTTGCTACTGTTTCCCATAATGTGAGACAATTGGTGGCGGGGGGCACTTTGAGATGCAGGGTTTTGTTGGTTGGATAAGGGTAGAGAATTCCTGGCTGGGGATGTTGGTTCACACCTGTAATCCCAGCACTCTGGGAGGCCAAGGCAGGCAGATCGCTTGACCCCAGAGGTTTGAGACCAACCTGGGCAACATGGTGAGACCTTGTCTCTATGTTATAAAAATTATTAAATAGGCCGGGCAAGTGGGTCACACCTGTAGTCCCAGCACTTGAGGAGGCCGAGGCAGGTGGATCACCTGAGGTCAGGAGTTTGATACCAGTCTGGCCAACATGGTAAGGCCTTGTCTCTACTAAAAATACAAAAATTAGCCAGGTGTGATGGCACACACCTGTAATCCCAGCTACTCAGGAGGCTGAGGCATGAGAATCGCTTGAACCCAGGAGTTTGCAGTGAGCCCAGATCAAGCTGCTGCACCCAGTCTGGGTGACAGAGCAAGAATCCATTAAAAAAATAATAAATAAATAAATAAATAAATAAATAAAATGTCTTAAAAGGGTAGAGGATTCCTGACATTCTGAAAAAAGATTTAATGGAAGAAAGAGGGTGGGGGTATGGTGGGGAGGAACCCTTGGAATAAGGATGAGTTGGAAGAATAGCTTAGTACTACTGCTGGTTTCCTTTGGAAAGCCCACTCTGGATAATGGGGGGAATGTTTTAAGCTATAATCTGTCAGCTACCAATACTAAGTGCTTTTTGGTGGTGGTGGAAAGCACCCAGATAAGAGTCACGCTGAGTTGTTTAGGACACTCACGTTCATTTTCTTCACCAGCAGGGCGATAAAAGGACAGGACCAGGGAGATGATGGCTGCAATCTCCAGGATGATGAGTGTGACATCTTGAAGGGCTTCCCACACTAATTCTAAGAAGGTTTTGGGCTTTTTGGGGGGGATCACGTTGTGTCCGAACACCTGCCTACGTTTCTCCAGATCTGCAGGGTTCCCAGATAGACCTGAAAAGGAGATAGGAGTGGATGAATGAATGCAAAAAAAAAAAAAAAAAAAGAAAATGATAAAAGGCAGTTTTGAAGTGGTGATGAGTCATGATCACGCCATTACACTTTAGCCTGGGCAACAGAGAGAGACACTGTCTCAAAAATAAATAAAATAAAGAGCCAGGCATGGTGGCTCACGCCTGTAATGCCAGCACTTTGGGAGGCCAAGATGGGTGGATTGTTTACATTTAGGAGTTCAAGACCAGCCTGGGCAACTTTGTGAAACCCTGTCTCCACAATAAAGACAAATATTAGCCAGGCATGGTGTGGTGCACCTGTAGTCACAGCTACTCAGGAGGCCGAGGTGGGAGGACTGTTCTGACCTCAGAAGTTTGAGGCTGCAGTGAGCAGCAGTGATCATGTCACTGCACTCCAGCTTGGGCAACAAAGTGAGACCTTGTCTCTAAAATAAAATAAATAAAAAAGATCCCCTGCTTCCTGATTTGCTCAAGTATGAGATCCAGTTAGAGACAACCATCCTAATCTACCCAGGACTCAGAGAGGGTGGAAATTTCAGGCTAAAAATGGGCAAAATGAAACTGGTCAGCCACGGGACCACTCACTTATCTTAGTGGCAAGTATAATCTGGATAAATTCCTAACCAGACATAACATCTTATCTGCTACTGATTGAGTATGCCCCAGGGTCCAGCTCTGAGAATATAAATATTAAAGTGGTTCTTGGGATTCACATAGAACTTTTATGTCATATGAACAGGTACATGCTGTGGTGATTTAAATGCAGAGTGAGCTGCCATCCATTGGCTCACACACAAAGGCCAGGAAGAAGAAGCTCCTTGCTCAAGGTCATGCAGGATGGAGGCAGAGCCCACACACGTGTCCTGATTCTAAGATCCAGGAGCTTTAGGGGAGCATCAGAGCAGAGTCTTTGAGACTATAACTTGCGGGCATTCCCTTTAAGCACATGTGCCCCTCCTTTTCTGTCACACACATATACACACCTGTGTGCCTATGTGTGTGCATGCACACACACTCACAGAGGCACAAACACACACCACTGAGAGGTACTACCATTCTACTAAAGACTAAGTAGGTACTAAGGGAAGTACTACTACTCAGATTGAATAAAAAGCAAACAAGAAAGGTGAGGCCACAAAGTTTTCAGATACTACACAGTACTTGATCACCAGCATCCTCCCCACCAACATATGTTTGCTTACATACCTCTGTGTACACACACCACATACCACACATACCATACAGACACATATACACCACAAACCACATACACCACTCACATCACACACCATATGCACAATATACAGACACATACACACCAAACACAAACCACATACACAGTACATACCACACAGATATACGACACACACACACACACACAGACCACGTACCACATACATACCATACCTACTCTCTAGACACCTTCTCAGAAGGACAAGAGATAGGCAGAATTATTCTCAGTGCTTTCCTTATAGTTGGGTCCTTTCACAGGTCCCCAGGTAGGGCTACTCTTGAAGGGAAGAGGGGAAATCCTACCGTGGCGATTAATGCCAGTTGGTATTCATCAAGTTGTTTACATGCTGAAGCAAAGTATTACTGGTTTTGACACTGGAAGTTGTTGGCTGCTGGTTTGAAGGGTTTCCCACAGGCAGGGTGGGGTGGCTTTTGTCTTGAAAAAAGGTTAGCAGCTGAGGAGGGTCAGAATCAGAGGAAGGGAACTTCAACTGAGCTTCACAGAGAGAACAAGACGAAGTGGATGACGGGGGCTGCAGGGACAAAACAGGCAAAGGACTTGGATGCCAGAGGCCTTCCTCACACTTTAGTCAATGGGAAGGGCTATTCTGTTGCTGAGGAAGGAATGCAGATGTGATATAAGGGCAAATGTCTACTCTTCACTGAAAATCTTCACTGAATAGAACCCAAGAGTGGGCCAGGCATGGTGGCTCATGTCTGTAATCCTCAGCACTCTGGGAGGCCGAGATGGGCGTATCACTTGAGATCAGGAGTTTGAAACCAGCCTGGCCAACATGGTGAAACCTCGTCTCTATTAAAAATACAAAAAAATTAGCCGGGCATGGTGGCGCATGTCTGTAATCCCAGCTACTAGGGAGGCTGAGGCAGGAGAATTGCTTAAATCTGGGAGGCAGAGGTTGCAGTGAGCCGAGATCACGCAACTGCACTCCAGCCTGGGCGAGAGAGAGACTCTGTCTCAAAAAACAAACAAACAACAACAACAACAACAAAAACCAAACAAACCCAGGAGTGTTACCTTAAGTGTCAAGAGGAGAGATTTGCGTTAGGACCTGAGGAAGACATCTGAACAGATAAAGATTTTGAAAATGGGAAAATAGGTACCCAAGGGAGTATTATTTGCAGAGCTTGGGATGGCCTCCATTTCCCTATGCTATAAAACAAAAAGCATCAGGAGACATACTCAAGATACTCGTCTGTCTGGGAAGGTACATGTGGGGGGTGGAAGATGAAAGTGAGGGGCAGGGGATGAACTGGCATCCACACCTGTGCAGTCAGGGCTGTGAGGACCCTCTTTTGAGACCACATTCACTTGCTAGTGCTTAGGAGAGACACACAGGAGCTGGTTAGGGAAGTGGTACCTGATGTCTTACCCAGGGTCTCCTGATTCCCAGTGCCCAAGCACATCACCCTGGCCTCCAGCACAGTGGCACAGCTGAGCCCCGCAGAGCTGTGAGGATTGGCCAAACCTCCAGAAGCAAACTGAGTTGCTCTCCAGAGCCTCCCTGCCCCCACCAGCCGGAGAAGTCAGGTTCCTAGTAGGAGGGACAGCCAGGGCCTGGGAAAGAAGTGTTCTGGGTAGGGCATCTTTAGCCCCAGACAGGCAGAGGCAGACTTGCCAGGGGGCAGGGCCTTGCTGGTCCTTTCTCCCCAGGGACCAGAGATGGCAAGGCTGTGCCAAGTTGGACCTGCTGTGCTGGAAAGCCAGGCTTGCTGAAGGGAAGCAGGAGTGCTGGTAATTTGTTAACCTACCTGGGATGCTTCTCAAAGAAGCAGGATTCACAATGTAAAGGGAGGAGATGCCCTTTCCTCCTTACCATGGTTTAGTAGATGATTATGAGGGCAAAGCAAGATACCAGATATTAAAGATCATAAGGCGCACCCCAACAGCCTAATGAAACCCTCCCTCCCAAAAAGAGGGACGTACGAGGGGTGGAGAACAGGGTTACCGTCCCTCTCTGCTCTCATGCTAATACCCCGTAATCATCCATGATGCCCAGCCCCCTATCTCCTATATCATGTAGTCGAGAAATCCTACCAGCTTCAAAATATATCTAGTCCAATCACTTTCCATTTTCACTGTTATCATCCTGGTCTAAACCATCCTCTCTCATCTGGATTATAGCAATCGTCTTCCAACCGGTCTCCTTGCCTCCACCCTCGCTCTCCTGTTCTCAGTCTCTTCTCAATGTATCAGCCAGAATGATCTTTTTTAAGATCTAAGGCAGTACATGCGATTCATCTGCTCAAAACCCTCTGGCTTTTACTTAGAGTAAAACTAGGCACCAAGGACTTGATGGGCTTCCAGGCCCCTTATGACTCCCCCCCGTCCCCCAGTCCTTATCTCCTACTAGTTTCTCCATGTTCACTGAGATCTGGCCCAGCCAGACTGCCTACTGTTCTCTGAACGCACTAGACATGCGTCTACATCAGGGCCTCTGCACAAGCTGTTCCTTCTGCCCAGATTCCTCTTTGCTGGAGAGGGCTCACTTCCTCACCTCCTTCAGGTCTTTGTACAAATGTCTTCTTTTTAGTGAGGCCTACCCTGACCACTGTATTTACCCGGCACTCTTGATCCCCCTCATCCTGCTCACTCATTTCCCTCCACAGGTCTTCTTACCTAGCATATAATAGGATGCATTCATTTATTGTTTGTTCACCTCCTCCACAAGGGCAGGATTTTTGTCATCGTTCCTCAGGCCTACAGCATTGCCCGGCACATCGTACACATGCAAATTTGTAGAATGAACTGAGTGATAACTAAGATTGCTAACATTTAAGTGATTACTATGTGCCAGATGCCTCACCAGGCACATTCATGCCTTCTCATTCAAGCATCACAAACCCCTACATGGTAGCTACTATTAACCCGATTTGACGTAGACCCAAACTAAGGCCTGGCAGGGGTATAACTACTTGAGCTTAGTAAGTGGCAGAGTCTATGCCACCCCACAGCGGGCCACTGGATGCCAACCTAGACACAGAGGACACTGGGGCATGGAGGCAGCTGCACTCAGCTGAGGCTTCAATCTAGTGTGACTAACTTGTTCCGGTTTGCCCAGGACTTGCCAGGTTTTAGCACTGAAGTTCCTGCCTCCTGGGAACCCCGCTCAGTCCCAGGCAATCAGCGAGGGTTGGCCTCCCTACTTCCTTCATCACAGGGCAGGGTTGCATGCTGCTTTCCTCTGTACGTCTAAGCAAGCCAGCGCTCTTCCCGTTGTCTACAATTGGGGTGGATTAGTCCTGTCTTCTTCCTTCCTGGCCTCAGGGATGGTAACATCGCCACCAGGTTCATCAGAGTCCAAACCTATGAATTTTGTACTCAATAAAACGTTTCTTATGGCCTTTTTTGGACCCAAGCAAATGAAATGACCTAACTGCCCTCAAAATCACTTGCTTGCTTCTTTTTTCACCATTTTCTACTCATCTGTGTGTTCCACCTTAAGTCACCCTGAGCTCGTACAATAGCAACCTTAAGAAGTCAAGTGGCTGTCTCAGTTCCCAGTATGCCCTGCAGCAGGGCAGGGCAGGTCAAGGATCTTAGCTGTAGTAGCCTTGGGAATCCTCTCTGACATGTGGTAAGGCATGGGAAAGCCATGTGGGACTGGGAGATCGGCCAATCCCCAGTTTTGGGCTTTCCATTCCAATTCTTTCTGCCCTAGAGAGTCTTTCAGGCCCTGATCTCAGCAGCTGTAATTTCACACAAATACTTGTCCAGCCCGGGAAAAG